GTAGAGAGAGGTTCCCTGAGGATGGGCTCCAGCACACACATCCAAAAGCTCGGAAGACTAAGCTTCTGGTCCCAGAGTCTGATCCAGATTGCAACTTGCAGAATTATTTCTTCTTTCATCTTGGGAAACTAAAAGAAATAACTAGATTTCTTTTTTAAATACCGTAAAAATACTTTGCTGTCAAGAGATATCAAGCTATTTGCTTTCCCATGCGGAAAGGGTTGTTGAGTTGATAGACAAACCTTCAGAAACAATTAAGTAAAGTGATTGGATAAATACCACTGGGAAGATCAGTCTTGAACAAATGAATGTAAATGAATTCACTCTCCTTTCCTTTTAGCAGAGTTTCCATATAAAGGACTTCAGGGGCATTTCTTTCATGATACCCAAGAATTGTTGTGGCCTCTTTAAAAATATATTACCAAGGAAGGCTGATCTGTAACATTATTTCAAAAGTCTCTTGTGTGCATCTTCAGATCTCTTAAATGCACTGAAGATAAGCCAAACACATTTCAGAACACTTTTTGCTATAATCTGAAGCACAAAGTAATTTTCCTCTCAAAGTAAACCTTTAATGGACCTGCAGTATTTTCACAAAGTGGTAACTTGGTTCTTTGTCTAATATTTGACGCTATTTGATATCAGATAATATTTTGCCTCAAACACTTTCAGTGTGTTCGTCACAGACAGTTTCAGTCAATTAGGTTGCTTAGAGGAAAAATCTTTAATAAGCTTTTTGTTCTTAGAAAATAATCAGTATAATTGGAAGAAAACACATCTAGGAATAATTAATATTAGATTCTGTGCTAGATTACAAGAATGCCAATTTAGAGAACTTGTTGGCTTTTGAGGAGATGCAGTTGAAACCTTTCTAGATCAGGTAAGTGGAAAAACAAGGAAACAGTCCTTCTTTCTTTTCTTTTTTTTAAAAGCACAAGGAATAACTATACATTCAGGAGAAGAGGACTTTCAGTAGAGGAATGGAGTCAGTAATCTCCAAATAAATGGAGACAATGCAGATGCAACCAAAGGACTGGTGAGTAGACTGGTCCCATGGAATCTCTTCAGATAAGAGGACAGATCACTTACTTGTGTTCCAGATGGCTGTTTCTCATGAGAAAACTGTAGGATAGCAGCTTCCCATGAGTCTTTGTTCTAATCACTGTCAGAAATTACTTAAGGTTAATAATGATCTTGAAAGTGGCAAGTTTGGAAAGCCACCTGGTGAGTTTACTGCCATTCCAAAACAAAAAGAAAATTAAGTATAAGCTTCAGAAATTAAAGAATTTGAAGCAAATGGCAAAAATTAAGCAAGGTTTTTGATTCAAGAAAGTTACAAATAAATTGAGGGATGAGCTGAATTTGGAATAGTAGCATTTCTGCTTTAAGATTTTGGAAAATATTTATATAAATAAACAGCTCACTCACATGAATTGTATTGTTTAGTTTACCTTAAATCATAACAAAAAATCATAAAAGGCTTTATGATTCTAGAAATTAGTCACTAAAGGGGACTAAAGATCCCAGGCATAAACGGAGAAGAAAGAAAGAAAAAAAATATAGGCTTTTGATTTGGTCAGCACTGGGAGAAAATGACACAAAGTGGTATGATAGTTGAAATACTTAAGGAGATAGTTGAACAAAGGGGACAGAAACTAGCACATGCAATGACAGTAATATTCTGTGTGTATGGATAAACTATGTCCAAATAATATTTTAAAAGAAATGACATAGGTGAAAGAGAGTACCTTATGCTGAAACAACAAGCCTTATGCAGAAAATTAGAATATAAAAAATGTTGAGATGCTGGAAAATGAAAAACAATGTGGATTACAAGAGAAAGATGAGAGTCAAAGTAGAAATACAAATGAGAAACCAATGACCTGGACAATGATTCCTTACTGGATCTACAAAAGAGATTTGTTAAAACCTTGAAGAAGTCTTTGAGATGAGAAAAGGAAAATCTGTAGAGAAATCAAAGCCTACAACAACATCTGAATTATATTAAATATTAAGATTCCTAGAAGCAAAAGGAAGGAATGTAAAGCTGGCTTGTTTGATCAAGATTAAAATAAACTACATTTTTATAAAATTCTGGAAATTCTTTTATGGATTTTGCTGACATCAATGTTGAAATATTAATGATTTATGGAATGTGTGTGGATAAGATATGGATTATGGGACAAAGAGATACTTGCAGGTAACCTTATAGGAGATGAAGAATTCTAAGTTTGCTTGTATTGTGATGGAAATGAGTAAGTTCTTTAAATATTTTCCTTCTATTTTCTTTTCCTGCACTTTTTGTTCTAATAATAATAATAAAGTTGGAAGGGACCTTGGAGGTCATCTAGTCCAACCCCCTCCTCAGGGAGGAAACCCTATGCCATTTTGGACAAATGGCTGTCCAGTCTCTTCTTAAAAACTTCCAGTGTTGGCGCATTCACCGCTTCTGGAGGCAGGTTGTTCCACTGGTTAATTGTTCTGTCAGGAAGTTTCTCCTTAGTTCTAGGTTGTTCTCTCCTTGATTAGTTTCCATCCGTTGCTTCTTGTCCTGCCTTCAGGCGCTTTGGAAAATAGCTTGACTCCCTCTTCTTTGTGGCAGCCCCTGAGATTTTGGAACACTGCTATCATGTCCCCCCTCGTCGTTCTCTTCGTTAAACTATTCACACTCAATTCCAGCAACTGTTCCTTATATGCTTTAGCCTCCAGTCCCCTAATCATCTTTGTTGCTCTTCTCTGTACTCTTTCTCTCCTTTTCTTCCCTTTTCAGTTAAGTTTGCATTGTCTGTTGTTACTGTTTTTAATTTTTTTTTCAGTAAAATATTTTTTTTAAAAAAGGAAGCTCAGAAGAAGGAAAAGTAATTTTTGAAAAGCATTCTGCTACATTTCAAAACAGGAACCAAAGCAAAGCTCTTACACTCCTTTAGTACTTATGGTTAGGAAAGTTCTAAAAAGCAAATAGAAAGAATGTATATATATATATATATATATATATATATATATATATATATATATACATTCCATTTAAGTGTGTATATGTGTTTCACATACAAAAACATATATGTCCAAGACCTGCACACTGAAAAAAAAGCAATGGACTATTTTCTTGGGAGGCAAAGACTGGAGGGCCACAACAAAGGGAAGTAGTAGCCTGAAGCTGACTGAATTCTTTTGATGTTGTTGCCCAAGTATTTCAGTTCTGACAGGATTGACTTAAACTGCTTTCGTACATGAGCACACAAAAGGAGCAACGTAAATGGTAAGCATGGGTGTGCTATTTAGTCATACTGCAAGTAATGAAAATGCATTGGCCTGCCATTTATGTTGCCAGCCCATGATGTTTTAGTTGATTTCTATAAGAATTCAAAGTAGGGATCAATTGATGCTTACACAATTTTAACCAGGAATCCTTTTTTGGTGGGGGAGGGAGCTGCAGATTCCACAAGAGCTATTCAGTACCATAGTTACTTAGTGCTATTTTTAGAGATTTTAACACATCTACTAAGCTACACAGTCCATTAGCCTAATATCATGGCACATGAGATCATTAACAATGGTAATTTATTTGAAATTCCACACGGGCAACAAAAGAAACATCTCGGGTAAGATGCCACACAAGGCTGGTAGTTTAAATTAGTGAATTCCACATCATGGAAGTTTGTATTACCAGATGTGATTATATTATGTTCTATTGAAGCATCTTTTATTACTTTATTAATAGTATTTTTACCTTACCTTTTTTTAAAAAAATTGTATATATAGTAACTACGATTTTATATTTTTAAAGAGAGATTTTTTGCAACTTAGTTTTCCATTCCAACTGTGAGTCATTTGCATTCAGAAAGAATGCATATATCTCAGCAAGCTGGAAAAACTGTGCATCTTGATCCTGAATCAGACGCCGATTGGATTGTTTTTTTTTTTAGCAACATTACCTTTTGATAGAGAAAGCAAAGACAAGAGACTTAGTTGTCTCTTCCCATTGGCGTCACTGCTGATTATTCCAGAGGTGTGTATATAGAGCCACAGACTGGGTTTAAGGAAGCTGACGGCACCCCATTTTTCATACCCAGATAGTGATTTGGAGGAATAGCTTCTTCCTTAAGATGCACTTCCTGCTGCTGGACTTTCCCAATCTGCCACTGAAAAAGGACTTCAGTTTCCGATAAGCAGAAACAAAATGGAGTTCTGGGAGGTTTCTGAAGCCAGTCAGCTAGCCATCTTAGTCACTATTGTATTTAAGTCAGGGGTCTTCAAACTTAGCCCCTTTATGACTTGTAGACTTCAATTCCCAGAATTCCTCAACCAGGCACGCTGGCTGAGGAATTCTGGGAGTTGAAGTCCACAAGTCACAAAAGGGCTAAGTTCGAAGACTCCTGGTTTAAGTTATTATTGTGTTCTTTGTTTTTGTCTCTTTTTCACAATGAGGGATTAGGAGTGCTTCCTTCCCTTGGCCTGCCATACTTGGGTGCAAAGCAGCACTTATAGAATGGAGCCACATGGATAGTGGTAGCAAGGCCTTGATCCTGATGGTCATCTCTCTTGCCATATCAGAGAGTTGGGAATGACCCAAGCCTGGTGTAAGGTAACATGTCCTGAACTGGCTCTGGTAGGAGCAGGACAGGCCCAGTTGAGACATTCCATTACCTCAGGGGTTTCAGGGTTTTTTATACCAAGCCAATTTCTCCCTGTGGTAGGGCCACCCTCCAGATGCCCAGCTCCAAAGTCACTAGTAGCTTCAAAGATCATTAAACAGATATGGCAAAATAGTACTGTAACTCTGTTTCATGAAAAGCTATCATTTAAAACCTTTATATTTAATAACACACTATATATTCTTTCATGTTTGGTTGTTGGGAGACTTTTGTATCAGTGTATAAAAAGTGGACCTTGGACTAGTTTCCACCAATTTTTTTTTATTAGTGTGGAGACGAACTGTGATATGTGTGTTTCTTTTAATAAAGGAATAAGTGTAATCAAAATAGGACATATGAACTCAATATTTTATAAAACCTCTTTAATTCACTCTTATTTTACATGAATATTTATCAGCACTTTATCATTTACTCTTGATAAAAAAAATCAACAGGACACAGTAAATGCTTTTTCATTATGAAAATATGTCCAGGCTTATGAATGTGCATATGAAGAGCAAAGTAAAAAACATACCAAAGCTATCACCTAACTCTTGAATTGATTCAATCCATTTTGGCTTTGTCAGAACACAAAGCTACCATTTCCACAAATCTAGACTACCACTGGGAGAAAAACTGGAGCTTCTTTGGAGCCTTTGACCAAAGCGGATTTCTTGGCTCAGCTGGGAAGTCACAACTCAGGATCAAAAGACTCCTCCAGTATTACAGAAAGGAACAATGCATGGTGTGGTGGCCTAGAACTTGTGCCTCAACTGTAAACATTAAAATAAATGTTATTAACTTGCATTTTTATTTATTTTTGTACTTGCTCTGTGTGTCAAGCATTCATTATTAACCCACTTACTCCTTAAAAAAATTAATGAAATTCTCAAAGATATATATATGTGCAGTTTCTATTTGATTTCTTATTACTATAAACTGAAAAAAAAACCCTATATAGTCTGGGAAAGAAGTTTTACGTTTGGTTTCTTTTTCTTGTTTACATGAATTTCATTCATAAGCGTGTACACACACCAACCAAAAAAGTATATTAATGTTTTCTGGTTTATCCATAAAAGATCTTTTCATTCTCTCTCCTTCTACTTACACAATACATACAAAAAATAATCTACAAAAATCATTTACACTTGATTTCGGCAACAATGTTTCTAAGAAAAAATGGTTCTGTCCAACCATCATAAAAGGAATGTCAGTAAACAATAAATACAATGTGCTTTCTTTCCTATATAAACATATTTACACTTGAGTCTTTGGTTTATGTTGAATTTCTTTATAAAGAACTTTTATCAGGCTGTCATTGCACAGTAAAACAAAATATGCCATTTTTTAAATGTTTGTGGTATGTGTGGCTGTATCTCTCTCTCTATATATATATTCTTGCAGCACATAAAACCTACAGATTATCCATCTGTATACAGTATTTTTAAAAACTTTTAACAGTATGAAATTAAGAACAAGTCTGAAATAAAACATTCACTGGAACAGATACATGCAACAGATGACAGGACTAATGTAGCCGAGAGACTGCAGAATATGCAAACACTGGAAAGTTTTACTTTGAATAGCAGATGTGCTCTGCCTTGACTCTTAATTCATTTTTGTGGCACTATATTCAGATTGTGTACAGGGACAGAACAACAGTCCATATACACCATTTATTAAGAAAAATACTTTTGCATTTAAAAATTAACTTTCCCCTTCACTAAAACATTTCTTCATAGGTTCAATAGAGGATGCCAAAACACAGTTTATTAAATTTCATATTATTTGGTTCACTTGATTGTATTTATCCTTCCGTATTAAGATGATTCAAGGTACTCCAGTGCAACATCATAGCAGAAACGATATTGTTCCTAAGAGAGAAAAAAAAAACCCACAAGTTATATTGCATTTGTGGAGGAAAGAAAATGAAAGAAACCCTATTGTTCCATAGACTTAATTGCATATTTTGTTCTTAACTCATCATGTTTTTTTATTTTTGTCTATGATTTTTATTGAAAAATAATAATAATTGGAATTCCTTGTTATCAATGGCTTCATATCTCACTATGATGCTCATTGCTAGTTATTTGTCAACCAAGAATAATTCTGCTATTTCAAAAGAATAATAATAATAAAAAAATATTAACATTCATTTATCAGCTGACAAACCTTTTTTTTTTTAATACTATAGCTGGTATTACACCAAACTGAATGAAACATAAAAGTAAGTCTAGCAAATCTAATATAAGCCCACCCCCAACAAAAAAAAGATAGGAATTTGAATAAGTCAACATATATAGTTTATAATACCAAGGCCCATGATCTGGAAGGAACAATATTCTGAGCAATGAAAAGAAATGTCAACTCTTTATCTGATTTTTTTTTTAAGTTACCCACCCTTCCTCCCAGGTGTAGAAAATACCATCATACAGCACTTAACAGGATGTGGGAAAAGATTTTTAAAATAATTTTTTGTTCTAGTTCTCTGATTAACATGGTGAGTGGAGATCAGGTGAGTATGTTTGGCTACTTTCCTTGGCTGGTTCCTTCTCCCAGCTTAACAGCTTTTGGGGATGCAATCAAGCATTTTGCCCATATAAAGCATGACCTTGAAAATACCCCACGTTGGCAGCTGCACAGACTGCAATAGGATAGCACCATTGCTTTGTGCTTTTATATATAATCAAAGCTGTTAGAAATCATACAAGCTAGAAATACTAAAATAAACAACACTGATTATAAAGTATGTGACCGAAGTGCTTTTAAATTATAAGTGGGGAAGATATAAAACACAGATTGTGGAACTCCAGTCTAGGAGAACAGAACAAAACCTCCAGTCTAGGAGAACAAAACAAAACCAGTGCATAAATCTACTAGTGTGAATATTCTGCAAATGAAATACAAAATGGATTTACAAATAATTATAGCGGTGGTAGTCAAAGAGGGGAAAAAGTTATTTTTCATCTATTATTCCACAGATGATCGTAGACTACAACTCTTGCCATAATTGGCCAAGAATAGTAGGAGTTCAAGGGCCATAATGTCCCCTCTCTTGCCCCAAACCCGACCCTAGTTCTCCTTTCTTTCTGCCTTTTCATCCTCATGTCCATTGATTTTCTTTCCTGCTTCCCATTCTTTACTCTTTCCCATTTATATGCTCTAATATTTTAGGAAAACAAATATATACTAAGCAAATATACTAATTATGCCTTTTCTGTTTGCAGGAAGTATGTCAGTTGTTTTAAAAATTTCCACATTAGAAGTACTAGAGTTGATATGGGATTCTATTGCTTTTACTTAGGATCATTTCCAAAATTTGAGAGGCTGAGCGATGTGGACCGATTATAGTTATGGAATTGAGTTCAAAGAATTAAAAAAAATTGCTTTTAATAGTCAAAGGATACAGAATCATAGGTTTCAAATTAGTATTGGCAATAAGCACATCTTACTTTATTCTGATGCACTGCAGAAAAGCTTAATTTCTACATTTTAAGTGTCTGCAGTTTAAAAATGTGCAAGTCTACATTTAACCTATGAATATTACATGGATCTTTTTCTCTTTTTTGGTAATTAACCATTTTCTTATCTTTTGTAATATTTACTTTGACTAAATCACCATAGTATATCTAGGTTTTTCTTCTTTTTTGTATAACCATCATCTCGCTCACTCACTCTCATTTCCTCTATTAAATATAATTTTAAAAAATGGTAAGAGCTCATGACACAGTACATTGAATCATTTAAAGTTTTAAAAGAATTTTGGATGATGCCTTCCATAAGACTGGAAATTCTCTATGTAACTTTTTTTTTGGCAGAGATAGGTAAATGGTAGGTTGCCTGGATAGCAAACTATTTTAATTCCACAGAAATGTCTGAAATGTTCTTGACCAAAATTAGCATTTCAGGTTGATTTCTTGTTTAAACCATCTATAACTATGTATGTTGTTAAAAAGAAACAATTTGATGCCTTCTCCCCAAAAAGTCATCCACTACTTTACAAGCTACAATTCTCCAATGACTCCTCTTAGTTAGCATTGAGATGGCAGCAACCCAAAACTGCCTGAAACTGTGTCTCATGAGTCAAATTGGGACAGGAAGTTAAAGAGAGAGAAAGATGTTTCCGGTGATTACTGTAAAACCACAATCTTTCAGATTTATCAAAGACCTACTGTAGATCTTTCAGTGGTGACTAAAGACTTTGAACTTCAGCATGCATTCGGTGCATGGGAATATGTATAGAGCTATAATTCAGTATTAATACATTCTAGATGTATTCTAATTATTTTGATATATTGATAATTAATTGATCATATTCTGTATTTCTGGAGTCTTGGAAAAATGATTTTATTTAGATGACTTACACAATTTTCATGCTTTTGTTTATTTGATTATCATAGAAGATAACTTACCGGTGTTTCTACCATGTTAGGCTTACTGTTCCGTAAAGTTTTTACTGCGTGGAAAACATCAATGACGTTTTGCCTTTTAACCATTTCCACTACAATGCCTATGGCACAAAACATCCCGCTTCGTCCACCGCCGTTCCTGAATATGAAAAGAATGGTTAACAAAAAATAGTTCCTTTACAAAGAAGGCTGAATCAGTTTGGAATTGAGCAACTCTGCCTGTTCTTGTTATTGGTTAGCATGTTCCCAAGATAGTTAAGCATGTCCTAGTTGTAGTTCTTATCCTTATCCTTCATCAATCTCTGCTCATTCTGAATTTTAGCTTTCCTGTCATTTGTTCTACGCATATAGGTTATTATTATGTGTTTTCCTTAGTGACCTGACCTTCTGTCCACTTCCGTTATCTCCACTTTCCATTTTTAGATTTTCACTCAACTTTTCTGGCTTCTTCTGACATTTTCTTTTCCATCTCTGCCCCACCCCAAATTGTTTATAATGGTGCTTTAAGTATATCTTTTGTGGGATTCATCTTTAGCTTCAGTTTCTCTCATTGTGAATTTCTAGTAACAGTTGCTTTGAGGTTATTCAGATTCACCATATTGGGGTCTAACATATGTGTTTGATTGCATTAAGCTTCAGTATTCCTGAATGTAAAGAATTTCATCTGTACATGTTGTTTTTCCTCAATTGTCCCACCACTTTTGTTTTCCCTTTTGATTAAGATTAAGTCGCTCATGCCTTGTTAAACCCACTGAAGGATTGTCAGAGAGACAGATCAATTATTTTCTTGAAAGGACCATGTTTGCAAGAGTTTATCTCCCAACAGATGCTGAAATAATTAAAATGTCCCATCACTACTCCTTCATGTCTTTTTGAAAGACATGTAATTAGCTTTTGGTTGTCTCCTATTATGGTTTTATATCATCCTTTTTTTCCTTGATAGCCTCTTACCTAACAATACCCTTGTTTTATTTGGGCTCAGTTTCTGTTTCTTCAGCCTAATAGAGTGTGACTCTATCTAGTCATAAACTGAACAGCAACATGTTGAAAATGAGTAAGAGGGGGCAAGAGAGAGGGAGAGGGAGAAGGAGAGGGAGAGAGAGAGAGAAGAAAATTACTTACATATTGATGATTTCAGTCTCTAAAATCTATATATTCTTAGCCCTAACAAAATCGTCTGGAATGGGGCTCTATTAGAGAGAGGAACTTAAATTTTGTCAATGTTCAATGGTTGTAGGAAAGATTTTGCCTGGAAAGTAGTTCTAAATGCTTGAGGTGGCAGGTATAAAATGTGGCCTGAAATATATCTCATTTTCCCATTACATTTATTAATCTAGATAACCCTGTTCAAGTGTCCAATATCATCAAATAAGATATGCTATCATAAAATGAGGACGGCACACACTGTTCTTGGGAAGTAGAAATATTCCTCTTTAACTAGAGAAATAGGAGTACACACTATTGTTCTGTTAATGAGACATACCTAGAACATTCACCTACATGAAATTCCATTCAACAGTATGAGGATAATAAATAGGATTAAAATATTAAATTACACTTACAGACAATGAATTATGGTTCTCCCTTCCCCTTCTTCACATTCTTCTTGCCACTTTTCCACTTGAAGAATTAAGTTTAAGAATGACCTCTTGGAACCTGGCACATCCCTATGAGGTGCCCAACTCAGATACTGGAATTGCTGAACCATCAGGTAACCTTCCTGAGGCTAATGAAAAAAAAAAAATTTCATACCTACTGCAGACAATACCATGAAGTTACGAAAGAAAGAATGCTATATTAAGGCCAATTAAACGTTAATGGCAGACTAGTTTTCTAGTTCATCAGGTAGGATAGCAGAGAGCATGGTGACAAAAATTTTTTTACTCTGCATAGTTACAAAAGTATAAAGATGGAGAAGAGTTGGTTCGCAATGTAGGTTAACTCATAACTCAGCTTGCACTAGTGCCACAGGGGAAAAAAAGTATTCGTCAAAATATTGTTTATTTATCACATTTGTATAGCCAGCCATCTCACATAATGAACCCAAGATAAAAATTTGCAAATTATTTAGTCAAATTTCTATAAATAGTCCTGGTCCAAAGGGCTTTATTGTGGTGGTGGTGGTGGTGGTGGGAATATCCATTTTTATTAGAGAAAATGTAGCTCAATTACCAATGCCACACATTAATTTTAGATGCTGCTTTTGATGCAAAGCAAGGTATTCAAAGTTTTTCATCTTTTCAAAAACCCCATGAGACAGATTAGGGCTGGCAGATAGTAAAATGTTGTAGCTTTTTAATGTAAAAGTAATCTGATCCTCTGCAATTCTAATTATTACAGGATTTTTACTGCAAACTCCTGAGGAAAGTGTGAGAAAGTTTCTGAGAACAGAGGAGGGGATTTCCAGAGAAAGGGATAGCTGCTAGAATTAAATAAAATACAATATTTTCAGTTCCAGGTGTGTGGTATTTGGAGGTGACATGGGTATGCCTATCATATTGTTGGAGCCATGACTTTTTCTAGGGTCAAATTAGACTTCCAGCCTAAGGAAAATACCCACTTGAATTAAGGAGATTGGGTTGCTTACAATGCTTCCTGAACTCAAAATGAATACGATCCAGAGCCTTTGTGATTATGAAACAAGCCAGGGAAAAGATAATTTTCTTGAAATGGCTGCTAACAGGTCCAGCAAGGATGATGTAGCTGAAAGAACTTGAATTGTAGGAGTTGAGGGCCATATGCTTTAAAGTTACCAAAGTTTACCATACAGTAAGCCCTTTAATTTTTGTAAAAATGCTTTGCTGAATATGGAAGTCTATTACAATAGCTCAGTAAACATGCCTTACCCTTGTTAAATTGCATATCCTGAAAATTCTGTTGATTACGTCACACTCCATGGAGCAGGACATGCACTCAACTTGTATAGGACCATATCTGAGCATTCCTTCTTCTGGCCAATATTGTGGGCAACCCTGTGTGACATTAAGTAAATATATGTGTAAACTTAAGCAGCTTTAGACATTGCGCTAAATCACCATAAATTACAGTGTCTTTTAATTAAGATACCAGAATCACGATAGCTTAATCCTTATGCAAATACAGCAACAGAAGATAGGGGGGAAAAAATCACATTGTTCCACTTTTGCATGGTAAAGCAGTTTTAATTACCCAACTCTTCTATTAATTGCAACTGCTGATGGAACTCAGTTCTCATGCTTAATTAAACTGGCTCACATCTGGAAGGAGGACAACAGATTCAATATATGAAACCTCATCTTCTTCTTAGCAGTCTCTTTTACATTAAATGTTTTATTTTCCAGTACAGAATATCTATTAGCCAGCAGGGGTGTGCCTTGATAATAATATATCTGGTCCAATCCAATAGCTTGACAAGCAGCCCAATTTACATTGTACTAATATGCAGATTTTTCCAGTTGAATTGGAGACCCAAATAGTGAATCTTAGCTCAGTTGGCTAAGATTCAAAAATCATAGCTTTTTGCTTTTTATTTGTTACCTTGCTATATTTCAGATTAATTCATTAATGGATCTTTGTGCAAGAACAATATCTGGATCTTCCAAAACAGGAAACAGGTATTGCCTAAAGCAGACATGTCAAACTCGCGATGTCATGTGATGTTGCACGATGTATGCTGACTTTTTCCCCATTGCCGACAATGGGATGGGTGTGGTTTTGGTTTGACACATCTGGCCCATGGGCCGGCAGTTTGACATGCCTGGCCTAAAGCTTTTGGGGATGGGGCACTGTTTTGAAAACGATACACAACGGGGATGGCCCTAGTTTAGAAACTTGAAACATTGAAAAAAATGATAGTAAAGCTTTTTGTATAAGGGAGTACTGAGATGTGGGCATAGTGATATACTTTTCTCTCTACTTCCTTCTTTCCTTTCCTCCCTTCCTCCCTACTTCCATTTATTTATTTTAAATGTTCGATACTAATACTATTTACGTATCCCTAGGCAAGAAATCTATAAATGTCACAAGAATAGCTGCAGGGTGTAGAATGTGATAAATTTTAAAGAGTTTAGCAATAACAATAGCACTTAGACTTATATATTGTTTCACAGTGCTTTACAGCAGGGGTCCCCAACCCCGGTCCACGGATCAGTACCGGGGCATGGCGTGCCAACAACCCGGCCACACAAACAAGCAAAGCCACATCCATGAGATGCAGGCAGCATACAAAACCACGCATACTCTGGTCCGTGGAAAAACCTCTCCACGGAACTGGTCCCTGGTGCCCAAAATGTTGGGGACCTCTGCTTTACAGCCCTCTCTTCAGCATTGCCTCATGAAAATTTATGACTGAAGTCTTAGCAAAATCATTTAATGTGAGTAAACATTAGCAAAGTAAAACCTTAATTTAACAAATGTCCATTTAGCACAGTGGTTCTCAACCTTTCCAATGCCGCGACCCCATAATACAGTTCCCCATGTTGTGGTGATCCCCAACCACTTATACATCACCGGGTGCCAGGGGCCTGGCCAAAGAAAAGGGGGGAAAAATGGCGGACAGCCTTGTTTGGCGACCCCCATGAAATGGTCGTTCGACCCCAAATGGGGTCCCGACCCACAGGCTGATGACCACTGATTTAGCAGATTGTGGATAGTTGGGATCAGATTTCTGTTGAGATATCTCCCTGAAATAGCAGACAAGTTTGTTATAGCCAAAGTAGTTTTAATGAAGCAGTTAACTTTATATTATTTGTGGCAAATTAGTCCATTAATTAATGTCATTTGCCTAGTCTATTTGCATTTTACAAATAACACCAAACAGTTGCAAATGAAATAATTTGTGACTCAAGAATAATGGATGCCCTCCCCCTCAGTGTACTCTTCTTTCTCACCACTCCTAAATATAGTAGTATTTCTTACTTCACAGGCTCATGGAGAATATATATCAATATCCGTGGACATGCTTTATATTTGCTTATTAATTTGAAATAATACTGAAAACTTCAGAAAGGATCATGTACAGATCATGGTCTAGATTTGATGCTCTCCTGACTTCGTCTGAAGTTGAATTCAATACACATTCCTACTGGCTAATTAGTTACAATATGATTATATTTTAAAAGCATATTAGTGGATTGAGGATCTAAAACAGGGGTTCTCAACCTTGGCAACTTTAAGACTTGTGGGCAAGTCTTAAAGTTGCCAAGGTTGAGAACCCCTGATCTAAAAGTATGTCCATATATGTAAAAGATGTTACTTCCAAATTGCTGTAGGTATACAAGCATTTTCAGAAATGCCTCAGAAATGTTCCTTTCATATCTACATCTATAGATACCAAAATGTGAGAGACACTTTTGTTCAGTGGTTAAAGCACCAGACTAGAAATTAAGAGATCGTGAGTTCTACTTTTGCCTAAGGCATGAAAGCTGACTGAGGCAGAATGACTTTGGGCCAGTCACTCTCCCTCAGCCCATAATGTCAGGCTCAGGTGACAAGTTGGTTGGTCAATTCCTGTCACAACCAGTGAAGTTGATAAAAAGAAAAGCAGACTCTGCACCTGCAGGAAAATGCTAGGAACAAAATTATAAGGAAGGTACGAGTCTATGTATGTTATGTATATCTGTGTCTATATGTACAGTATACCTATATCTATGTGGAAACCATATGTAGTTCAGATGTCTATGCAATGTACTGCATACAGAACATAATACCATTTCAAACCGAATAAGAGCAAATTTTTTCACCGAAAGAAAAGATCAGTCCTTTTAAGGAGAATTGCACAAACTCTTTCAGCATCAAGATCTTACTTGTGCTAAATCAACTTCATTTAACATCACGAGAGAGGTACAGCCATAATCGTAGACCAATCTCCAGAAATCTTTCACAGTGTTCAGCAGAGGATGCTGCGTGACAATGAATGCAGCAGGTTGTCTGTAGCTCTGTATTTAAAAATAGATAAATACAAATAAAATAGAAATGCAGGCAGCAATTTCTCCCTCATCAAATAAATATATAAATCTTACACAACCACTACGCCATTCTCCAGAATAATAACAAAACAAATGACAAAATATCCATTCCTTTCATTCTGAGGAGGATAGGATGGATTCAGGACATAAAAAAGTTAAATCGTGGCCAGAGCTGAGGAACTTCTAAAGTTTTTGTTTTCACTTTAGTTTACTTGTCTTGGAGGAAAAAAAGCATGATAGATTTACTTATGCTCATGATAGATCTTAAGGCAGCGAACCTTGACCATGAACAGCTATCAGATTTTTTTTTTTTTTAGAATTATGCTGGGTGTCAAGAGATGGATTAATGGGTTAGTCCCTTTGAGCTAACTGAGCACTGCATTATGGGGATGGTTGGTGTATATGAGAAACAATGAACGTGAGATGTACTCCGATTGCCTCCTGCATTCCATCTTTTTATGCAGAAGCAGAATTAGACTTAATTATTTAGGAGAAGGAAGTAAGAGGAGTAAAAGAAAGTTTTAAAAAATCACAATACAGTAGCTTCTTAGAGAGAAATGCTGCCTGATACTTTTGCCTACCTACTGGTTGGTGTAGAGGATTAAATCATTTGGCCTAATTTCCCCTATGATACCTCTTGGAAGGAAATGTGAAAAGATAATAGGATGTTCTTCCTAGGATCAATCGCTGAAGCTACATTGCCCACAGGCAAATGGTACAAAAGAATGAGACATGGCTGACTTATGCTTTCTCTCTAGAAGCCATTATGGGCCCAGTTTTCTGTGCTGTACTGCCCAGAAAAGTTAAAGAAATCTGAACTTCAACATTTTCTTGCTTCTGATTTTTCGAAAAGCTCAGAAGGGGTCTGCAAACGGCAAGATGAAAGATCACTTCTTTCTGTTTTTTTTTTTTTTTTTTTTTTGGAATTTTCTAACTACTTCTGAAGGGAAAGGACAATTGTTCAGAAGGGCCTTTCAAGGCTAGGATCATTTGGGATGCCTTGTTATTGTTGTTGTTTTAAATTTTAGTAATATCTGCATAAATATTAATGAATTATACTGTGGTAAATAACCATTTGGGGTTTTAGGTGTATATAACCATGAGTCCTTTGGCAGGTAGCAAGTGGTTGTTTTCTCCAAATACAAAGTTACTTACTGGCTGCATTAAAATATATATTTATAAATATATTTTAGGGTCTTCTAACATTTCTCTTCAGCAATTTTCAACTCCAAAAAACTACAGAAAATTTATAATATTCATAAAGTCAGAAAAAAATCAGTATTTTTAGGTTCTTGATTAAAAAAAATATTGCAGCACATTGGAATAAGTGTGAATTAATTTTTTTTCAAGTACCAATAATTCTGTTGCATATTTCTCATCTAGTCAAGTAAAATAGTCACTTACATCCATAAGGGCAGCATTGATGTAATTGCTGCTCTCACCATCAATAGTAATTAAGAAAGGCAGACATCTGTCAGGTGGCAGCATATCCATAAAGCGGTTTTTGTCATGATTTCTTGGCAAGCATGCTATGCTGCAGTCTTCAGCTTGTAGCCGAGGAGTCACAGAATTCAGGGTCTACAAGGCAAAAGAAATATTTATTTTGACATTGTGTACCTAACTCAAAGAGATTTGGGCATAAGGGATACAGGCAAGGTGACAACATCGAAAGCCGCAAAGAAAGAAAAAGCACATTTACTTCTGTTTATTCAAGAGTACGGAAGGAGAATCTGCATATATGGGATTCATTTATCCCTGTATAAATGAACTGGCAGCCTACAATGAATACAATCACACAGTGATATTCCTCATATCCAGACATGAAAGAACACCATGAAAGAAAAGGACAATACATTATGAGTCTGTCACAGGAGGTACAACACATTCCGTGTCTTAGGAAGCAATGAAATTGTGTTTTCAAAATAATATCAACCAACGAATGTACCTGGAATTCATCTTTAAGATGTGAAGAGTTTGTCTGAGAGTCTATTCGAATCATGTCAAAATATGCAGCTTTAAATTCACAAACTGGGATGGCAGTTTCTCCGCATAAGCAGGCTTCCAGGATGGCATCATGAATAAAGATATACTGTTCCTGCCAGAGAAAGAACAAAAGAAGTTTGGTTATCCTACAGTTGGACAGATCATTTAGGTCACCGAATCCAACCTCTTCCTCGGCATAGGAATACAAATTACAGAATCCTCAGCACCTGGCTGGTGTGTAGCGGCAATTGAAAGCGGCAATTTTAATAAAAGAAAGTCCTTCACCACTTCTCCAGCTAACTCTGTTGAGCTGATTTTATTGGTCAGGATGTGTTTTTTTTTCCTAACATTTCACAGAATTTTAATTACTGAGTCCATAAATGGTTTTTAAAAGGAATAAAACCTCTCCTTTGGATACTTTCCCATTAACACACTTATTCAAGAAAGTTTAAAAAGACAATGTTCATCTCACTTACACAAGCTGAGATACAGTACTGTATATTTTTAAAGTAATATTCATTCCATCAGTATACATTTTAAAGAATGGCAAATTTTAATCCCAACAATACTTAATGGCAAAGGTAAAGAAATAATGTTGGAGAATGATTAGGTTTTTGCTCGCATCTATGAAAAATATAGCATATTGCCAACCCTTTTGGAGGTATGCTATATCTGTATAAAGTTGTATGCTTTAAACTATAGGTAGTCCTCACAACCATTTGTTTAGTGACTGTTTGAAATTACAATGGCACTGAAAAATGTGACTTATGACCGTTTTTTACACTTAGACCTTTGTAGCATTCAAATGCTTGGCAACTGGCATGTATTTATGACAGTTGCATTGTCCTGTGATTACACAATTACCATTTATAACCTTCCCAGCCTGCTTCCAACAAGTGAAGTCAACAACTGTCTTGCTTTGCACATAAATTTTGGACCTCCATTGTGATTGTAAGTCGAGGATTACCTGTATATTTTTTTATTTTACAAATGAAAATGTCATGTCATGATCTGGGATGGCAGAGAGTGTTAGAAATAGAAAAATTCAGAAACAAAATTCCCCAATTAAGATTTTTTTCTAGAATTTGCACACTCAGCAAATGCTGAAGCTGCTTCCAGGCAAGTCCTGATGATGCAAGCCATGCAAAGTGTCCCTTTTTGTTGACTAGAAAGAAACTCTGTTCTTTTCCCCACATCTAAAAAATGTGGAGAAAAATGAAAGTGCAAGGCAGACACAAGAAAGAATTGGTCAAGGAGCTTCCCAAAGGGCTGAAAAAGTCTATTCCTGACATGTCCTGATTAAAAGACGTCTGATATTGTGATATATTCCTCGTGTTTGCTCTTCCCTCCTGAGTTATATCATACAATTAGCTTGATATGTTTAAATGTCAATGTATAATAATTCCAGTGCTTTTTCTATTTTAATTTTAAGGTCTATAGTAGGGATAGGCAACCTTGGCTCTTTTATGACTCGTGGACGTCAACTCCCAGAAGTCCTCAGCCAGCGTGCCAAGTCCACAAGTTTGAAGACCCCTGGGCTAGAACATCTTTCCAATGTTGCTTCTTAGCAACCAATATTTATGATGTACTGCCTATGGTCCAGAAGGTAATGATCAGGCATCAATATTAATGGCTATTGATAACCTGATTTTCCATAAATCTGCCCAGTTGCCTTTGAGTACCATCCAAATTGGCTGCTATTTTCACAACCACTGTTATAAACCACAGTACATAGTTTATGGATGTCTAGTGTGAAAAATTATTTCTTTCTCTTAGTCCTGAATCTTTCTGTGTATAGTTTCAATGGGTGACCTTGAGTTTTAACAGTGAGAGAATAACAACCACAGTATCCATATCATGTGCAATTTTATCTCCCTTTTATAGGTTCCTTTGTTCTATGCTGTAGAGCTCCAATTGCTATAATCTTGCCTTGTAATGGAGCTGCCCTCTCCATCTCATTATTTTGCACATTTTTTTTATTTTTGAAAAATATTTTCTAACTGGCTGTACTATTTTGTACAAAAACCATACGCATTGTTGAGAAATAAGGATAAAGTGCCAAAGATATTTTCCTCATAAAAGGAAAAAAAAAGTAAAATGAAATTGTTTGTATTGCTAGCAGTTTATTTTGTTTGTGTTGGATGTAATTTTCAGTTCAGTTCAGTACTGAGTTTGCTTTTACAGTATTTTCAACATCATTCAGATTAGTGCCAAGATAACCTCTTACCCACATTATATTGCATCTAGAAATAATTACTGGTTTGCAGTGTTAGCATAAGACCTACAGTATAACCTATTGCCCAAAAAACTGAGAAACACATGGAGAAGGAAAAGTACTATAAAAACTGGTAAAAAATAACTACAATTTGATATGCAACCACTATTTCTCTCCTCACAATTTCTGGACATATATACCACATAGGGATGACTCTTGATACAATGTTTTAAGGAAAGAAACTTTGGAATATATGAAGAGGATGGGACGGTTGGAAAGGGTATAAACGAATGTCGGTTTTATCTCCTTTCCTACCTCCACAAAATGATCTGTCTTGCTCTCTCTCTCTTCACATTCTTATTTAGTTGGTCTTGAACCAGCTGCACATATGGCTTAGTAAGCTGCCACATCCAGAATATTTTTTTAAAAGCAAATGACTAAAATGCACATGAGAATTGGACCACTGATTCATAACAGCACAATACCTCTGTTTGTACCATATTGATGCGGCGAGAACGTAAGGCTTTGACACAGTTGTAGATGTCTACAACACCTTCTCTTTCTGCCATGTCTAACATGATATCAATTACAATATAGCATCCAGTTCGCCCAGCTCCAGCACTAGGACAAATCAGAAAACACACACACAAACACATATATTAAAAAATGACAAGCATCCCAAATAAATCAGAAATCTAACGTCTGATTTTATATTTTAAAAATCCAGTGTTTTATTTTGTGAAAGTGGAATTGTTTTTAGCTAAAGTAACAACATAATTGGATAGACACTTTCAGTGTTATTGCTGAACATACTTTGTAATCACTTTACAAAGCAGAAAAAAAACATCTTCATCTTAGAATTGTTTAAGTGACACATATTAATATTACTAATAGTTTTCCTGCACTGTTCTCGTTTCTCTGTTAAACTGTCACAAACATTTCCAGCAGAAATCTTTTCCACAAGGATAACTTATTCATAAAATAGTCACTAAGTTGATTCTGAGAGTAGTAATTAAAAAGGCTGATTTTTGTTTTGCTTGGTTTGTTCATTTATTTATAGCATGCATTTCATTATGGGACCAATTCTATTTTTTAAAAAAACCCTCTTTAAAGTTCTAGCCTTTTGAAGAAGATTGCCTCTGATCACAGTTTTGTTTTCCAACAGCCACTCCCATGTAAAATTGTGGCATATCTTTAGTTGAATTCATAAATCAGACAGTTGAAAGGTACCATTTAGCTCACTATTTAAATCCTTGGTTCCATATCCTAATCCAAATTAAGATATCCTGCTTCAACACTGCCAGTATAAGGAAGCAAAATATCCTTCTGGGGAATGTTTTTCTAACATTGGTTACTATATTCCATGACTTCCTATTTAGAACAAAAAATAAAGTACAGTATTAATGTTCTCTGCAACATCCTTTTAGGTATTTGAAGGGATTTGGGATAGTTCTCTTAGTTTTTCCTCTTCAAAGCAAAACTTTTCCAGATATTATCTCTTGATAGGACTTAATTTCTAGATCCGGTGAATGTTGGTTTTCATTCAGTGAAAAATAAGCAATTTGATATCAGATCAGGCCATTAGTGAAACAAGAAACAGATGGAAATGTTATCTCCTACTCAAAACACTTTTCCTTCTAGGCAAAAGAAATCTGAAAACAGGTTGATATAAACAAAACTTGCATTAGATATTCAGCAGTCCTGGGAGTTATTTCATAATGGCTTCATATTTTTGCTATAGACAACCTACTCTCAGACATGATGTTCTGGGAAATAAATTTCCACAGGGTTTTGCCTTGTTAATCAAGAAAATGCTGACAGTCCCCAGATTGTCCTTATTGCCCCATTCTGAACCATTATTTTTTCATCTGAATCCTCCTTCTCAGTCTAGGTGTCTATTTGATTTGTTTTTCCTAAATAAGAGTTTGATTAACTAATGTTGATTCCGTTGTTTCCAACCAATTTCTTTGAAATTTTAAGATATTTTTTAAATTTTCTTTACCTATCCCAGTGATGACGAACCTTTTAGAGACCCAAACTACAACTGAAAACCCACTTATGCATCGTCGGGTGCCGGATGGGTGTGGCCCATTGGGTGGGCGTGGCTGTGCTGGTCACTGGGTGGGACTAAAAAGTTCAATCAATCAATTCCAACTTTGCAAGATCTTTTTTCCCCGTGAGAAGTTAAAATTGACTGATTGATTGAACCTTGTTTTTTTTTGCACGGTGGCGGAGGCCTGAAGCAAAAAGGTTTTATAAAACCCAGCTGAAGGCCTAGGACTGGGGTGACAGTGCGCGTGCCCACAGAGAGGGCTCTGAGTGCCGCCTCTGGCACCCGTGCCATAGGTTCGCCACCACTGACCTATCCCATCAAATTTTGATAAGCATCCTCTCTGCCTCCATGTCATTATAGAAAATGTCAATATATACATGTCCAGAATGGAAGCATGTAGCATCTCATTTGATACTTCCTTCTAGGTTAATGAGGAGCATTCTTTGAACATGGTTTTAAGCCATGTTAACACTTAACACTTATATCCAGATTCATACTTAACTAGCTTGCTAACCAAAACATGAAGATTATCTATTACAGTAAAAACACCTACTAAATAAGTTACCCTAGTATATAAGATCAGATTGGCAAAAACGGTTTGTTAATTTCTATGTGTTTTTAAAAAATCCAGGTATGTGAAGGCCTTGCAATAAGGTCAAATAAGTGAAGGAAATAATAAAAAAATATTAGTGTTTATTATCACTTGAGGAGAAATATGTTTATACTTCTCAGAAGCAAGTTGTAGGACAAAAAGTAATGATGAGGGAATATGCTTAATTTCTTCTACATAATTAGCTGCCAGTTTAGATTCACTAATAAGTTAGATATTCCTTCTTTTGAACTATTCTACTACTTATTATAAGAAGTGAAACTATGATTTATATAGACTATTTTATGTGGTTTATATAAACAAGTGATTATTGCCAACCTCAAGTTCATAATAATGTAGTTTACTATATATGGAGACTTCCTAGGTTGGGACACTGATCTAAATCAACCTTATGCCATAGGAGAATTTCAAACAGGCCAGATAACTTTAGAACACAGAAACTGAATTAGAGATTCTTGAAAGTTGGATCATGGAGTTATCTGTCAAAAGAATCAGTTGGAAATAATAACCCAAGCCATCTGATCAATCCACCCCACATCACACCACAAAAGGTCACAAAACTTGACAGATCATGCACACATTGAGAATGATAGAAAATGCATCTACCTCTTTTCTACACACCTGCAATGCACAACAATAGGCCCGGCACTTGGGGGGTTAGATTGTTTTACACGGCGTATAAATGAAAGAAGGCCTGTTGCATTGTAAGGTACTCCATGATCAGGCCAGCCAGTAAAATGGAACTGTTTAACTTCACGGATTTCATTGTATCCTCTCTGTCAAAATGGAAAATAATAAAAAGAGTATTTTTCTTTTTTTCTCATGAGTTATGTTTAGTTAGTTTTTGGTTAATTTTCTAAAAGATCATTTTTGCTTTAAATTGGTTAAAATTTATACAGGACTAAAAATGCAAGCTTTAGTTGATTTTAATCAGTTTCCTTCCAAAAAACCTCAATAAAAATGTGAATATAACATTCATTACTAATCACACCTTAATCATTGCTTATCTATATACTGCACAGTACACCAGGCCAATTGTATATTACTATGAAATTGCAACAATATATGCAAAGTTCTTTCTTTTCTAGAAAGAAAAGTTCAGTCTTTAAAGAAATAGCCTGGAAGTCTCTCATATTAAGCTAAAATAGTGCTCCAATGATTGGTCTGTATTAGAAACGTAGTGACATTAATATGAAAGTAGCTCTTATGATCTCATAGAAACAGAATGATAACTAAAATAATTTAAAGTTTAGATATACCCTTATGTTTAGGTAAAGTATAACAATGATGTATATACAGGTGAGTAAGATATCTTAAATGGAGAGAAACATAATGAGGATTGGAAACCGGAATCAAAAATATAATGGTCTAGTTCCATGTATCATAAGACTTGCTACGATTCTTGCTATTCCTTGCTATTTGAGTGTGCTTGCAAAAAGCTTGTGTACTCCTCTTTTACTGTTATAAAGCAACCAGAAACCTCTGTGAGGGAAACCATTGGTGACAAGATCACAATTAAAGCATTCTTTTACATGCTAGCAGAGTTTAAACTAGACTTCCACAAGGAACAAGGGCGAGAAATAATCTTATCTCAGTCCTAACATAGCTGGAGGACATCAAGTTGGTGAAGACTAACTTAAACATCTTGAAGTCCCCAATTTCAAAGAACAAAGAGCTTGTGATTTAGGAATTTAAGTTATCAGATTTTTCTTGCTTCCTTTTAAGTCTGAATGAGGCGTATATAAAGGGCCTTAATTCTATAAATAAGACTACAAGACTATAAAGTAGGAACAAAATTCATCTGACTATAATGCAACTCTCTCTTTTTGTACTAAAATTATAAGGAACCAACCATATAGCATATAAAGGAGACTAAGTAAGTGTGGATAATTAACCAGTGGAATATCTGAGGAAAAAGTCTATGCCCAAGAAGAAACTTGAAGTTGGTCACCAAGAAAATTATCATTCAAGGAAGCTGATATTAAAATTCTTTATGAATACTTCTAAGTGTATGTAAGTATATCACCATCATCATTTTAGCCATTGTCTAGCCACTGCAGGATGAAGGCCTTTTCCACATGTTTTCAACCAATATGGTCCTGAGCTTTCTTTTACATACATCTATTGCGGGCCCAATTGGCAAAAGATCTCCCTCTCCCCCCCCATCTCTGTGTATGCATGTATTATTATTATTTATTAAATTTATTTATCACCCATCTCATCATAAGGTGACTCTGGGTGGCTTAAAAGTTAAAACCAGTAAAACAAGACAAATATACATACAGCAATACAATTATAAGTTATGGTAAAAAGATGGAGAGGGAGGGAACAAGTTGTGCAGGGAGTGAGATGTGATCTGCTATTAATCCATCAACCAACTCCAGTGTGGTACTCTCCTATTGGGGTCCCAGACGAACTGGCAGATCCAGGTTTTCAGACCATAACAGAAGGTCAGGAGGATGGGAGTAGATCTCACCCAGGGGTGGGGGTAAAATGTTACAAAGAGTTTCCTATGTATGTATAATAGATAAGATAGACAGATAGGATTGCTAAACTATGGTATGTTGTTTGTAGTTTATTTAGCATGTTGAGTATGCCAGACATTATTCTCAGATACATGTTTGAACTGATGGCAAAATTCTTCAAAGTATTTTGTTTTCTGTGAAATAATAAGGCATAAAATATGACCAAAATATTAGTATGATAATAACGTTAACAGACATATGAGGTGCTGCTTATAAAAAAAAAAGAGAAATTTAATTGGATGGAAATTTTTTTAAAAAACTTAGGCATAGCAGAATGAGTGGGTTACAGCTCCAGTGTTGTAAGTACTATAGTGGTGGGCAGATTAAAGAATGGTTTGAATATGTTACATAAATCTTACATGTTATCGTAAAGTATTAAATTTACAGCAGTTTTCTTTTCTTTTTTTATTGAAAAGTTTTATACAATAGCAGTTTTCAATTAGATAATTTGAAGCTCTAATCTGGAAATATTTACCCTTTCAAGGGTGAATGTCCTGACAACATATTCTGCAAGTGGTTCCACTTCCACACAAGCAACTTTGAAGTCCCCATAAACCTCCGTGTCATCAGGCCAATACTTGTAGCACTTAACCTACAATCAACATGACAGAAATATTTCTCAAACAAAGAAATGGATGAATCACTGAATCACGCACATCACATAATTCTTTTTATTTAGTGGTAGATCGTATTTCATAAATGGAAATACAGGTGAAAATGGTAGAAAAAAATAAGGGTGGAATAAACCTTTTAAAATGCTTATCTCTATAATCATCATATATTTCTTATTTTATATATTATGACCTTGCTTTCACATCATTAAAGATCACCAATTCATTTTTACTTACACTCCATTATTTTGCTTTTACTTTTAATTATAAAGGAAAATATACCACCTAAAGAATTCTTTGACTTTTTTTCTGCAGTCTCACATGAATAGATTAAATGGAGGATAAAAAAAAAAAGTTTGGTGCTTTTAAGAAAAGTACAATAAAAGCAGAGACATTTGAAAACAGAAAAGCTGATTACATCAAATGTTTTTCACTTAATTCTCTATTTGCTTCTAGAAGGTGGGATAACACATTAGTGCCACAGGTAGCCCTTGATTTACAGCCATCCAGTTAGTGACAGTTCAGTGCTACTGTGGCATTAAAAAAAAAGTGACTTACTATCAGTCCTCGCAGTTACAACCATCACAACATACCCACAGTCACATGAACAAAATTCCAGTGTTTGGCAACCGTCGTGTATTTATGATGGCTGCAGATTCCTGGACTCGCACGATTGCCGTTTGCAACCTTCCCCGCCAGCTTCCGACAAGCAAAGTCAACGGGAGAAGCCGGACTCACTTAATGACTGCACGACTCACTCAATAACTGCAGTGATTTGCTTAAAAACTGTAGTGGATAAAGTCGTAAAACTGCACGTGTTTCACTTAACAACTGCCTTGCTTAGCAAAGGGAATTCTGATCCCAACTGCAGTTGTTAAATCAAGGACTACCTTTAGGTTGAGACCGTTCAGCCTATTTCTGTTTTGCACACCAGAGGAAGACAAGATTGTGATTTCTTGTCCTTTTTCACCTCTGTGCTTCCCAGCCATCCGTGTGCAAACACAAAATCTATGTGGGTGAACAATACACACAGAACAGTACACAACAGTATGAATAGAAATATGGAAATTCTTTTTCCAGATAAATAAAAATCTTAAATGCTTACACACACTTGCTGTCACAATGTTTGCTTTTTTTCCCATCAACCCAAATCTACTTAACAGATTACAGACATGCAAACAGAGGTATTGAATTCTGGCTCTATATTGGTCACTTAAAGGTAGGGATTTGTTCTTCCTGGTTTTGCTTCTGTTTTTCTTTGCAATGTTAGCAAAATTTCATGAGGTTTGGTATTTGTGAGGAGATACTTACCCGGCCCACTTCAACTAAATTTGTAACCATAACAATGCAGGCTGATTGTTCTTGCCATATCATTCTCCAGAAATCATAGACTGTCTCATGCACTGGCCCTGGCAAAGAAAATGCTTATAAATAATTTTTTTAAAAAAAAAACCCTGTAAAGCTACCATCTTTAAAATAACTGTCAGGTATTCAAGGCAGGTATGAATGATTTGAGTAATCTTTCAAAAACTGCTGCACATTAATAATTAGTATTGAAGTGCCGTAAATGCCGGCGTATAAGATGACTTCCGTGAGCGCTGAAATCGGCGCCAAAGACGGGGGTCGTCTTATACGCCGAGTCGTCTTATACGCCGGAAATACTGGTAGTTTCCGGCGTATAAGATGACGTTCTAGGAATGCGGCCCGGCTATAAAGACGGGGGTTGTCTTATACGCCGGGTCGCCTTGTACGCCGGCATTTACGGTATCTCACAGAAACCAGGTTTAAAAAAAAAACAAAATAAAAGATTAAGCTATTGTAGCTGCTTTAGTGCAAGAAAATGCCAATATCTGACAATTAATGGAATTTGAGAATGGGCTCGTTAAAATTTGGGAAATCATATTGTTCGGGCTGTGTAATGCACCAATCAGCAACTCTTTTAAATCAGCTTCATATTTTCACATACTACTTATACTACTGGAGAAGGACACAGAAAATCTTTGTATACTTTGAAGAATTTTAAGCATTGCACACCCCTAAAGATTATCACAATATTTATTATTTGACTTAATCATCTTATTATAAGCCAACAAACATTTTGTCTTATTTCCATGTTGATAAGGTGACCAACCGTCCTCCTTTTGGGAGGACAGTCCTTTTTTGAGTTCTGTCCTCCCTCAAAAAGTGTCCTCCTAAATGTCCTCCTTTTCCATAAACTGTCTTCCTTTTGGGAGGACAGTCCTCCTTTTGGGAGTTCTGTCCTCCCTTGAAAATGTCCTCCTAAATGTCCTCTTTTTCTATATTTGAAGACTTATCTGCAGGACTTTTTTTTCCTCATAGAACGCTCAGAAGGCGTTCCAGAATCTTTTTTTGATTTTTTTTTCAACTTTTGCCTGAGCTGTGCTACTCCCCCTTATTGGCTTTCGAAAGCTAATGGGAATTGCTGCTGAGCGCGCCAAAACACCCAGGTGGCAAACTTTGCATGTTAAGTTGCAGGAACTTTGCACCCTTCACTGCTACCCAATTATACCATCTCTTACTTAGTTCTGCAGATAGCTGGAGGAGACTGGAGCAGTAAGTTTCTCTTGATCTTCCCTGTTCGGTTCTACACGGGGATGCACAGAATAGGCGGTCATGCTGGGGGGTGGCTGCAGGGCCGGAGCCAGCGCAGCTGGTGCTTTGCAAGCCGCGGGGCCAGCTCTACGGGGATGCGCAGGGTGGGCAGTGGTGCTGGGGGGTGGCTGGGGGGACAGCTGCAGGGCTGGAGTCGGAGCAGCTGGTGCTTTGCCTTTGCGAGCCGTGGGGCTGGCTCTACGGGGATGTGCAGGGTGGGCGGTGGTGCTGGGGGGCAGCTGGGGGGGTGGCTGCAGGGTCAGAGCTGGCATGGCTGGTGCTTTGCCTTTGCGAGCCGTGGGGCTGGCTCTACGAGGATGTGCAGGGTGGGCGGTGGTGCTGGGGGACGGCTCAGGGCCGGAACTGGCTTGGCTGGTGCTTTGCGAGCCACGGGGCCGGCTCTCCATGGCAGGGCAGCAGTGCTGGCAGGGAGGCTGTGGGTCTTCCATGGGCCGCACCAGCTGGTGGTCTACGCAGTGCTGACCCGCGCTGCCACCACCTCACCCTGCGCATCTACGTGGCCATCCTAGAGCGCCTGGCTCACAACACCTGCCTCCGCTGCCCACCCCCGCACAGTCCAGCTGTGTAGATTTTTGGACAAGTGAGAAATCGAGATTGAATGTTGATACTCTAGCTGCAGCACTTGCCGTAAAATTCAATATGAAGGATATTTCTTGTTCAGATATTTCCAATATATTGTTAGAAGATGATACATTGACAAAAAATATTCATTCAATGGAAAAGTACTCATTTAAATAATTAATAGGCATGTAAGCATAATTACAATATAAAATGTTATTGTTACAAATGTTTTTTATTATGCATTGATCATATTATATTGTATTCTGTATTATTGTTGCAATAAATACAATGTTTCTTTTATTTATGATATTTTTTTCTTCAATTTATTCATGTCCTCCTTTTTGTTGTAAAAAAGTTGGTCACCTTAATGTTGGGAAACTATGAGGATTTGATCTGTGTTGGCCCCTCCATTTTGAAGGTTGGTACTCATGTATTGTAAGTCTTGTTTTCATTAGCTTTTGTTAATATTCCTTTCTTACAGGCCCAGTCCATATAGGATTATTGATACCAGTCATTGTGCCTTAATATCCTGGTTGTTGCTGCTCCTGCCACAACCAGGAGAAAGCTAGTGTTCACATGTCCTGTATTTGCCAAGGGGCATGGTGGGCCAGCATGGATAAAGGATACTGGACAGCATCAGAGACCAACCCCCAAGGCTCCTTTTCTGTTGGGCATGGAGCCTGTTTCCAAGATCCCACCACTGGAGCTTCCGGTACGTGGCGGCGATGATGGCGGCTACTTTGTAGCCGTCCAGCTGGGAAGGTGTCAGAGCCGCGGAGCACAGCGCGCACCAGCTGGCCCGCGGTTCGGAATCCCCTTCCCGGGCAAAGGGAAGGGGTAGAGAACACAGGAGTAGAGGTAGAACCCCTGAACCCCCTCTGGATTTTTTCCTTGAGGGGGTGGAAGGAGCGTTCCCTCGGAGCTCCTGCTGATCTCCGCCTCCCAGCTGTTTTTGCTTCTTCAGAAGCAAAAGGAACCGCCGCTTCTATCTCCGCGGTTAAAGAGTCTCGGTGAGTAACTTTTGAAGCGGACAGAGCGGTTTAAAGGATTTCTTTTTATAGTTTAGTGTTTTATTTTCCTTTTCTAGTTAGTTTTGGTTGTTTCTCCTTTGTTCTTTTTTGCTGGCACGGAGAGAGAAAATAAAATGGCACTTTGAAAGTGTTCGGCTTTTTTTTTTTCCTTTGTCTCTTTGTTCTTATTTTTCTTGGAAGGTAATGGACTTAAACGACTGTTCTTGATTTCCTTGTTCTCAGCTTTGGATTTTTTTCTTGATTTTTTCTCTTTTTTTTTCAGAATTCTAAGGATTACAGTATTTTTGTTTCTTTTAATTTTTATCTCCCCCTTCCCTTTTTTTGGGGAGAAGGGAAGAGAGAACTGTGTTTTAAAAAATGGCTTTAAAGAGACAACCGCCTTCTATACTACCCAAGGTGGTTTCCTCTCCCACAACTTTAACTATACAACAACAACCTAAACATGTACCACCGACCCAGCCACCACCTTCCCCTCCTTTGCCAGGCCTGTCTGCACAAGAGATTAAAGACATAATGGGAGATGCTGTATCTCAAATTAGAGATGAAATGAAGCAACTTGTTGTACAGATTAAATCTGAAATTAAAGTGGAATTAAATGAAATGAAGGACTCATTAGAGGATAATAATACTATTATGCGGCAAGATATAGTTACAGCCTTATCAGGTTTGGCTTCTGTGGTGGTGAAGCTGGACTCGAGAGTGGAGGAAGTCGCAGACAAAGTTGACTTTTTTGAGGATAAATTTCAAGATATGGAAAGGAAGATGGAGATTTCACAAGAAAATATCCTTATGTCTCAGTATAGGGAGATGGAGCACGCCCTGAGGATCAGGGGTCTGAAGGAGGACATGAATCAAGATTTGATGGAGATGGTGCTTAGTGATTTAGCTGTTGCTTTGAATATGGATAAAGGAGAATTACGCAGAGAAGTGGAAAAAATTTATAGAGTTAATTCCTGGATTGCGAAGCAGAAGAACTTGCCCAGAGATGTTGTGATTTATTTTACAAAGAAGTCTCTGCGTAATGAAATTATACAAGCTTTTTATAATAAGAGATTCCAGATTGCTGCCCAAGATGTTATCATTCTAAAGGAAATCCCATCAAAAATCCTAAGAAACAGGAAAGATTTTGCTTTCTTAGCTAATGAGCTTAAAGCTAGATTGATGCCATTCAGATGGAAGATCCGATGGGCATTACTCTGAGCCATGCGGGGATGCGTCACAGGCTGAACACGGTTGCCAAAGCTAAAGAGTTTTATAATACGGTCCTGGGTGCAGGCTCAGCTTCATCTGTTCAGAAGCTCTTGAGTGGTAAAGAGCTGGAACAGCAACCTGAAACATTAGGTCTGATCTCTGCTGGGAAGATGCAAGCTGAATGGCAACGTCAAACAGAGGTTAAAGAGCAGAGGATGACCCGTGCAGCACATAGACGTAAGGAAAAGGAGCAACAAAAGAAATAAATTAAAGAATCTTCTTTGGAAAGTGCTTCATTGCCGGTGGGAGGAGCAAGACCCAAGAGTTCTGCAACACATACAGCAATGGCAGACCTCCAGGTAGTCTTCTCCAGGCTCCTGGTCAAGGGAGATGGCAAAGTTTCTGACCTGGAATGTTAACGGTCTAAATTCCCCTCAGAAAAGAAAGAAAATCTTTTACTACTTAAAGCAACATAATAATGATGTTATCTGCTTACAGGAAACTCATATTTTACTTAAAGATCAAAAATATTTAGTTAACGCCCGTCTGGGATCTCATTTTGTATCCTCAGCTCCTGGGAAAAAGGGGGGAGTGGTTATTTATGTGAAGCAAAATTTACCAGCTTGTCTGGTAGAATCAGATCCCCAAGGAAGATACGTAATGATTGAACTTGGTTTATATGGTAAGAAAATACTTATAGTGGGACTTTATGCACCAAATCAGCAACAGGAACAATTTTATAGATTGTTACATCAAAAAATAACTTTGCTGGATTATAGATCCGTGATATTAATGGGTGATTGGAATGGTGTCCTAGATATACAAAGGCACAAGAAAGGTTCTTCTCCTCTTTTTAAACAGGCAAAACTACCTAAAGCCTTTTTTGACATGAAAGAGGACTGGGAACTAAGGGACTATTGGCGGGAATGTAATCAAGAGGAGAGAGACTTTACCTTCTTCTTAGATAGACACCAATCCTTTTCAAGAATTGATTTCTTTTTGATTACAACGGATTTATATAATAGAGTAAAGAATGTAAAGATTTTTCCTAGATCGTTGACGGATCATAGTCCAGTTTGGATGGAGCTGACTCAAGAAAAAGAGGAGAGAAGATCCTGGAGGGTGAATGAGAACTTATTTAGACAAGAAAAGAATGTTCAAAAGTTAAAGGAGTGTTTAAAGGATTATTTTGCTCTGAATATGTATAAGGGGACTTCAATGTCAATGGTATGGGATGCAGGTAAAGCATTTATGCGTGGGATTTTGATAAAAATGAATAACTTTCATAGGCAAAAGCAGACTCAGAAACGTAAAGAATTGGAAGATGAGATCAAATTAAAAGAAAAGTTTGTGATTTTAAATCCTTCAGATGAAAGGATTAAAGAATCTATAAAGTTGCTAAGAACACAATTTAACATGTTGATGGCGGATCAATCCGCAACCAATTTATTGTTTATGAAACAAAATACATTTTGTAATGCTAATAAACCAGGGAGATGGTTGGCTTATCAATTAAGAAAGAAACAGAGACAGAGAATAATAGATAAAATAAACTATAAGGGTAAACTAGTGTATCAGAAGGAATTGATTAAGAAATCTTTTTTAGATTACTATCAAAAATTATATAAATCTACTAATGTGCAAATTTTAGATATAAATAAATATTTAAGTGAGGCCAACTTTCCCAAACTGACAGAGGACCAGAAACATGAAATTAATGGTTTAATTACTAATGAGGAAATTGCGATAGCAATCAAACAATTGAAACCAGGGAAAGCACCGGGCACGGATGGGTTGACATCTGTTTATTACAAAGCTCTAATGGAAGAGATGATTCAACCATTAGGTAGTGCTTTTATATCCTTGATCCCAAAAGAGGATCAAGATCTTACTTTACCAAAGAATTATAGACCTATATCTCTTTTAAATGTTGACTATAAGATATTTGCAAAAATTTTAGCAAATAGGCTTATGAGGGTTGTGCATCATCTTGTGCACAAGGATCAATCTGGGTTTATAACTGGTAGGTACATGAAAAATAATGCTAGACAAATTATTAATTTATTAGAATATCTAGATAAGAATAATCAAGTTTCTGCAGGGCTGATATTTTTAGATGCTGAAAAAGCTTTTGATCAATTGAATTGGCATTTTATGTTAAGAGTAATTGAAGAGATGAATCTTGGTGAAAAGATATTACAAGCTCTTACGGCAATATACCAAAAACAAACGGCACAACTTATTGTTAATGGAGGTTTGTCAGAGGTTTTTACAATAGAGAAAGGTACTAGGCAGGGATGTCCATTATTACCGTTGCTGTTTGTTTTAACATTGGAAATATTGTTGATTAAAATTCGAGAGTCGCAGGAAATAAAAGGAATAGAAGTTAACAAAAAAGAATATAAGTTAAGAGCTTTTGCAGATGACTTGGTGGTTACTTTGTCGCAACCTACTTATTCTGTAGTAAAGTTATTACAGTTGACTTATCATTATGGTTTGGTTTCGGGTTTTAAGATTAATGTTAATAAGACTAAAATCCTTCTGACTATTCGGGAGAAGCAGATTTTGGTTAATTTGACGGGTTTTGAAATTGTTAATAAGGTAAAATATTTGGGGGTGATTTTATCTGTTTCTAATGCAAAATTGTTTAAGAATAATTATGAAAGGTTGTGGGTTAGAGTACAGAAAGACTTGAGGAATTGGGAGAAGTTGCAATTATCTCTCATGGGAAGAATTGCAGTGATAAAAATGAATGTTCTACCCAAGTTTCTTTTTTTGTTTCAAATGTTACCGATTTTGAAGAATGAGATTAATTTAAGTGAATGGCAGAAAGGTATTAACAAATTTATCTGGGCAGGGAAAAAACCAAGGGTAAAGTTTAAAATCATGCAAGACTCCCGTGAGAGAGGTGGACTCAAGGTACCGAATTTGAAATTATATTATGATGCGGTGGTTTTAACATTAATTAGTGATTGGGTAAATTTAACAAATTTGGAGATACTCCATTTGGAGGGATGGGATTTACTTTTTGGTTGGCATGCCTATTTAATATTTAATAAAAAAGTGGACCGGGCTTTTAAATCTCATATTATAAGAATCTCTTTACTTAGGGTTTGGAGAAAATATTATAAAAGTGATTTTAAAATACCATTATGGGCTATACCTTGGCATGCGATAGAGGGGATAAAAAGAGGTGTCAAAATGGATACGGTGTCTTATACACAGTTACTTAGATGGGATGGACAAAACTGGCAGTTAAAACTATTGGAAGAGCTAGCACATGAAAATATTATTTATTCTTGGTTTCAATATAGGCAATTAGTAGACAGATGGAAGATGGATCGTAAGGTGGGTTTCCTCAGAGAAGATGAAAATCTTATTAAGCAAGTGAAGGATCAAAGACAAACTCATATTAAGAGAATTTATGGGGTTCTAGTGGAATTGGATTCAGAAACAGAATTAATTAAGGATTGTATGATTAAATGGGCGCAGAATTTTGGTGAACCAGTTCTACTGGATACCTGGGAAACTATCTGGGTGAGAAATGTTAAATTTACACAAGCACAGAATTTAAGGGAGAATTTTTATAAAATGTTTTATAGATGGCACCTTGATCCACAAAAATTGTCTTTTATGTACCCTGACCTACAGCCTAAATGTTGGAGATGTGGTTGTTTGGATGCCACCTATTATCATATCTGGTGGTCGTGCAGAAATATAAAAGCTTTTTGGATTAAGATATGGTGGAATATTCAGAGAATTTTTAGAAGGAGGGTAAAATTTACTCCACAATTATTTTTATTAGGTATAGTTACTGATTGTGATACAAAGGAGGTTATATTGATGTTGAACTTGATCACAGCCGCAAGGCTGTTAGTAGGACAATATTGGAAGAAGGAATCTTTGCCTACTTTGCAGGAATGGTTTCTTAAAGTGTCTTATTTGGCGGAAATGGCAAAGATTTCGGCTTTCTTAAAAGAACAATCGCAAGAGAAATTTCTTGCTGTTTGGGATAAATGGATAAAGTTTATACAATTTAAATTGGATATAAAAAATATCATCTAGCTTTTTTATAACTTTTATTTTTATATATACACATATATTTTAGTGTTATATTCTTTTTTTTCATATAATTTTTTTTAACTTTTTTAAATTAAACCTATATTCTGCTCTGGGAAGCTCCGGGGGGGGGAGGGAGTGGGGGTTTTGGGGAGGGTTGGGGAAGGGTTGTTTTGTTTTGTTTTGCTTTGTTTTTGTATTGTATTGTATTGTTTTTTTTTGTCTTTTTGTAAAAATTTATAAAAATTTTTAATAATAATAAAAAAAATCCCACCACTGAAATTCAGTAGCATCCTTCCCCACTGCAATTCTTCACCCACTTTTGGTGGAAAGTTAACTAAGTAAAATAGGCATGCTAATTAATTTATAATCCAAGCTTTGCAGAAATTAAATAAAGCCTACTTATGTTATCTTTCAACAGTGAGTTTTGATTGTAGCAGGATATAAATATGATTAACAAACAAAACTCTCTCTCTCACACCAAATTCACAAAAATAGAGATTAAACTTTTCTCCTTTTTACCTGTATTGGTGATATAGACATCCAAAGGAGCCCTTTGGAAAATCATGCCTAACTTAACAACATTTAATACGAATTTTACAGTTCTGCACATATTTCCAGAAACTCTTACCCTGGGTTGCAATGTAGTGGCTTGGTCTCTGGTATCCCTATAAAAACAAAAACAGGTTGATTTTTAAAACAGTCTGTAAGTTTTAAGCATCAAATCGAATAGGGAAAATGAAGGCATACCAAAATATTCCTAGATACTCCTTACAACTAGGCTAGTAGTGGCTAATCCAATCAACCATATTCAAAAACATAGTTTCAACCATTTCCAGAATATCAAAGTGCATTGTTGGATGTGAAATAAGACTAGCGATTTCAAGGTGTTATTTTTGGACAATGGCACTTAGAACCAAACAAAACGTTCCTGTAAACATATACTGAGTACATCAAAATGAAGTGGCTCATTGTTTCCTAATTGTTCTGTTTTGTGAAACCCATAACTGTTGTCATTTATTGAATTTCAAATTTGTTTTTGGTTCAAATTCAGTGAAACTATGAAATTGTTCTAAGCAACTATCAGATTTGCCTTCACTTAAAAAAAAATAACAGATTGACATAGTTTTGTTTGTTATTTCAGATATTAAGCACAAAACAACCAAGCCATTAGCAAAAACTTTCACTATGAATGCACCAGAAAAAAAATGGAGCCATAATGAGTAAGCAGAATGGCTGAACACTGGAGCTGGACAATGTATATGTGTGTACAGATTGCAAATCTATATGCAATACTGCAATTTCATGCTATTAAATAAAAGAAAGTTGAGAATTTAAGAAATTGTGTGTACGTATAATATAAAGATGAACACACATATATGTGCCATTACTGAACTTTCTCTATAGTACAATTTTAAATGCAGGGAACGATTCCATATACATATACTTTAAAAAAGGATTTTGTTGGCCTTTTGGCTAAAATCAAGTAAGCAAGAATTAACCATGATTGGTTAATGATTAGAATATGAAACAACAAAAAAGATTACTGGATCTCATGAATATTATTTCATCAAGTTTTTGCTAATTATACGTTAGAATTTTGGGAAGGCAAGGAATTAGTCTTATTATGTAATAAATAACTATGGTACTAGCACATGTAAACATGTTATCCTCAGTGTTTCTATGGCTTAAATGTAGGATTAGAAGCAGCACTATATAATTTTCATGTAGTAAACACATTGCACTCAGTTGGTCAAAGGAACAAGTAATTATTATGAAAAATAATTCCCAAAGATGCTTTATTGACAAATGCATATATAAAGCAATGCATATAAAACATTGCTTCTTCAGTTTTTCCATCACTTTTTACTCAGTTTGACAGGAAATATATCTTTTTTGATGTATTTTTGAAAGGAAGAGAAATCATTGAGAGTCATTGCAAATGTTAACTTTGTTTTGAGGAGCTGATGACATTGAAATGCCTATTACTGGTAGTAGCCACTAATGCTCCTACAAGCCCATGGCTTTCCTGTTTTTTTTTTTTTTAACATCCAAACAAGTCCCATAATAACCTGAGATTTTTTTTAAAAAAAAAAAAAATCAGAGAGTTGTGTGATGTACCTGTGCAGTGAGCTGCACTCAAACAGAAAATGTGATTTGAAGTACAGATGCATGACATGAACTAAAATATACCAACTTTACGATCCTGCTGACTATGGCACTCTTTAAAATCAAAATTGCTGCACAGCTATAATTTCTAAAACAAAATGCAAATCAGGATCCTTGGGCAAAAATCCTACAAAATTCTAGATCAACCTGAGAATGCACTACACAACAGGGAAAGAAAACATTTTCTTGCAGAGAAATGAAACCCTCAAGGAGTTAGATGACAGCTTTCAGTAGAATCCTGAAATAAAACTGAGGCCTTGTAAAGACAGAGCAATATTGTTCTCTAACTCATAATCTTGCACATGCATTCATTCAAATTATCAGGGACATAGCTATGAAATCCTTTTATTAGAACTATTTGTGGGTGTATCTACTGAGTGATAACTGCTCTATTCAACTAATGGCACCTGTCTATTTTCTAAGTACATCAGTGCTGATTACACACATTAGACATTTTGAAATTCTGTACTGAATTAGATTATCAAATATACAAGGCTTGACTATATAGTCTATGAAATTATTACTCCATTATAGCTTTCATAGTCACATATGTACATTTGTATTTGTCCAAAACTGTAAGCTTCAGTACTGTTTTTAACTCATTATTATTTCACTTTTATTGCAAGTGGAGGATTCTTGTCTTGCATTACAAATATGAGGGTCAAGGATTAGTAGGGGAAGCACCACTGCTCATATGAATTCCCTTTAAGAACAGGAGACAACTTTACCCCTTCCTTTATCCCTTTCAGGCTACCAGTAGGTTTCTTTTGAAGAGCAACACACTATATTCTATTATCCAGCTTCTCACACAAAAATAATGGAACACAAAATAAAAATTACTAAACAGTGCAAAAAAAGAGTAATAAAGAAGCAAAAATGAGTCTTGTAAGGGTTAAGGTTTCACTGATTTAGCTAATGATTTCCATGACCACTGTAAAAGACTAAGGATATTTTTAAAATGTAGGTAAAAGCAAAATAATAGCACAAAGGAACATTAAAAAGACTAGATATATAAATGAAATTCATTAAATGAGGCATGCACATATATCTAGTAATAAAAAATTAGAACAGTAAAGCAACTGAGAATGTTCACTATATTAAATAGTCATAACAGGATGCTGTTATTCACATATAGTGGTACTTACATCCCTGTACAGCCAAATCTACAGCCCAAATCAAAGTCAGATGTGAAAGAAAGCACAACAATGTCAGTGAGTACTAGGACGGAGGACAAGGAAAAGTGTACATTTTGTTCATAATATTAAGAAGGCTGTCATTCAGTTCATAGGAATTGCATGCAAAAATGTTTCACAGAGAGAAGATGGAAAGGAAAAAAAAAGCAAGATATACAATCTACTTACATCAATATAATTAGCATTAATGTAGTCTGAAGAAGGATCATCTTCCACAGCTTGTAATATCACCCTGGAGTGATCATCTGTAAAAAAATGGGTTTCGTCTTTGGAATGATAGACAGCAGAAAAAAACAAGTGTGAAATGTAGAGGCTAAAGATGCCCTTATTTAAGGAGGAAAAAAGGTAGACCCCCATTTGACCTGCAGTGCTGGTGACCCCTTCCCAGTCTGCTCAAAAGTGCTGGGGAAACCTCAGAGCATGTCTAAAAGTGCATGGAAGGCTAGAGCCAAAAGAAAATAGAAATTGTGCCTACTCAATTGTGGAACAGTTGAATGAAATGAGTGAGTAGAGAAATATACACACTTTAGAACCTGTCTTGGCTTTAAAGCACTAAGAGCAGAAAGGCTGCAAGAGGTCTTTCTCAGCCATGACCCCATCCCAATGGAGTTTCTTTTCTAAGGGAAATATTATGGCCCCAATTGTAGCTACTTTTGAAACAGTACTGTATGTCAGTGGCGCCACTCCATCTAGAAATAATAATAATATTAATAATAATAATGATGATGATAATAATAATAATAATGTTGGAAGGGATCTTGGAGGTCATCTAGTCCAACCCCCTGCTCAGGCAGGAAACCCTATACCATTTCGGACAAATGGCTGTCCAGTTTCTTCTTAAAAACTTCCAGTGTTGGGGCATTTACTGCTTCTGGAGGCAGGTTGTTCCACTGGTTAATTGTTCTAACGGTCAGGAAGTTTCTCCTTAGAAGCAGGTTGCTTCTCTCCTTGATTAGTTTCCACCTGTTGCTTCTTGTCCTGCCTTCAGGAGCTCTGGAAAATAGCTTGACTCCCTCTTCTTTGTGGCAGCCCCTGAGATATTGGAACATGCTATCATGTCCCCCCTCGTCCTTCTCTTCGTTAAACTATTCATACTCAATTCCAGCAACCGTTCCTTATATGTTTTAACCTCCAGTCCCCTAATCATCTTTGTTGCTCTTCTCTGTACTCTTTCTAGAGTCTCAACATCTTTTTTACATCGTGGTGACCAAAACTGGATGCAGTATTCCAAGTATGGCCTTACCAGGGCATTGCAAAGTGGTATTAATACTTCACATGATCTTGATTCTATCCCTCTGTTAATGCAGCCTAGCACTGTGTTGGCTTTTTTGGCAGCTGCAGCACACTGCTGGCTCATATTTAAATGACTGTCCACTAGGACTCCGAATCCTAGTCAAGTGGGATACCATGCAGCTATTTTCTAGGCTCTGTGTTGCTAAATATATTTAAATATTGAATTAGGGCTTAGAAAATATGGTGATCAAATTTGTAAACAAGCCAACCAGCAAAATAATTTCTACAAGGACAAATCGAAGACCTTCATTCGAGTACAGCATAGGAAGGTGAACCATAAACGGAGAGCAGTTCACGCTTAGCGGACCACACAAGCTGAACATGAGGCAAACATACAATGGAGATCTCAAAATAGCAAATGTAATCCTAAACGGCATCATCAGAAATATAGCATCAGTATCAAAAGGAATCATTGTTCCTCATAGTTCTGAGTTGGTTAGACAACAATTACATTCTGTTTACTCTTGCATTTTAGCAAGGATACTCAGGACACTGTATGTCCAGAAACAAGCAACCAAGACAAAGATAAAACTTATGAAGAACTATTGATGGTGCTGGCCATATTTAATCTTGGTAAGGCATGACAGCTTTCCTCAATATTTGCCAGGTGCAAAATTGTTCAAAGTTGATTCAGAAGGCAGTGTGTGAAACAATGGATTTACAAAAAAGGAGATTTTGGTTGTACATCAGGAACAACTTTCCAATAGTAAGGCCCATTCAATAACAGAACAGATTATCTAGGGAGCTTGTGGATCGTCCTCTACTGAAGAGGTTAAAAGAGAGGCTGAACGGCCATCTGCCATGGGTGTCTTCATTGGTTGGAATAAATGATCTCCAAGGTCCCTTCTATGCTATGATTCTGTGAAATACAATTTTTTTTTGTCTATGAATCTGTTCAGCAATGGCAGAGGCAATGCTATGGAGTAGTTAAAGCAATGAACTAAGGCTACAGCAGTGTTTCTCAACCTTGACAATTTTAAGGCATGTGGACTTCAACTCCCAGAATTCCACAGCCAGCATTGCTGGCTGTGGAATTCTGGGAGTTGAAGTCCACATGCCTTAAAATTGTCAAGGTTGAGAAACACTGGGCTACAGAGAAATATTCAAATTTTTAACCACCAAGAAACACATTGTTTACTACTGTGTAGGATGGGTAGACATAATAATATGCTGTCTAGGTTATGTCAATCAGCAAACACACTCATCTGCATGATTATTTGTTTTTAACTCACATGCTATAATGTTCCCATATCTATTCTTCGTTCTGTTTTGATCCTTTTTGGCCACATCCCAAGAAGCTGATTGTCCTTCAAAGAAACTCTTTCAAAATAAAGAGATAATTTATATTTATTTTAGCATTTTAATTCATCCTGACACATTTTACATTAACATTGTTAGAGCATCAGTTGGGTTCTTGGTTTCTCTGAGTTTGATTGTTTTACTGGAGTTATATATCAGCATATATAGCTTTTCCTAGTATAAACACATGGAAATATTCTGCCGGGCAGAAACAAATTCAATGCCTGGCAGTTCTAGAAAATACAAGAGGGCTTGCGGTAGAAAAAAAAGAATCCTAATATCCCTGTTTCTCAACTTCAGCAATTTTAAAATGCTGGATGGGGGAATTCTGAGAGCCAAAGTTCATAAATCTTAACATTTTTGAGGCTGAGTAATACTGCTGATCTAAATAAAATGATTAAACTACAGTCATGCAATATAAAACTTCAAGGATCTATATTTGGTCTACACAGGTCATACACTTTTCATTCCAACTTCTCCCAGGTCTCTCTGCATGTGACACAAATACACTGGTGAATGGTCTTGCCAGAATTGTATCTGGTGACCTGATGGGAACATCTCTGTCCACCTCTTTCTGAAGTGAGGGTAGGGGGTGGGGCATAGACAAAATAACTGGCCTTCTCTGTGGTTCCCCTCCCTCTCCAACCTTTGAATACCTTACACCTCCAGAGATCATTATTTTAAAAGAAAGGTTTTCCCCCGCAATTCTTGGAGTAGGAATTGGGAAAAATGTTGATTTGTTAGCCCTTTATCTGCTGTGTTTTTTCTCTTTTAACATCATGTAACATCCTGTAGCTCTTTTGATCATGGTAGCTATAAAAAAGCTATCAATAAATGTGCAAATCAATCAATCAATCAAATAGACCAGAGGTGTCAAACTGCTGGCCTGCGGGCCGGACGCGTCACACGGAAGCTGCGCCCACCCCATCGCGGGCAATGGCAAAACAGTCCCGATACGTCGCGCGACATCATGTGATGTCGCAAGTTTGACGTATCTGACACAGACAAAGAAGACTGGAGTTTGTTTTTTTTCAGTGTACAAGTATTGATGCTGCATATAGAGCCTTCCAGGGAAACTTTTCAACAAATGACCTTTGCATGCAAGATTTTTGGCTCATATAATATCCTAGGAATGCTGAGGGAAAACCTGTCCTTAAAAAGGGAGTAATATCTGTATGAGGAAGGTGTGTTTTTGATACTTTTCACTTTTTGCAACACTCTGGTTCACACATAATGCTTTTAAATTTTCCACTGATGCATGGCACCCAGAAAATGGTCTTTTTAAAAAAATGTAACCCCATGAAATATTCATTTCCATGCTCTTGTAATTAAGAACTCTCTTTGCAATCAAGAAGCTTTACTCTCAGAGGAACTCTCTGCTCTAGGTCATGTAAAAAAGCAACTGCTGATAGTGTTACCTCGTATTCTTCTTTGAAACCATAGCTGTCAGATGTTTTCATGAGATTAATATGCTGCAGCAAATCCGCTACTCTGATAGCAGGATGCAGTTGGCCAGTTTGGTAGGGGGATTCTGTTCCTTCGCAGAGATAACGAGGCACATCTAATAGACGACTTGACTCTGCTGTTGCACTGTGGTTTTCATCTGTAGTTATAAGAGCCCAAAGAATGGAAGAGTGTTCAGCGACAAAGAAACTGAAATATTCCTGCTACAACCCATTTTTTTATGAGCTCATTTTAGCACTCTGCAAACATCTGGGTGCTATTTTGACTCTTACAAAAGAAAGCATAAGCAACAAGCTTATGCAACAAGCATAGGCCTAAGACTGAAAATCAGGCTTGTCAGATGCTATATTTTTTCTATCCTGCTCTATGGAGTAGAGAGTTGGTCTCTGACAGAAGGCCACCTGAAGAGACTAGAAGCATTTGAAATGTGGATTTACAGCTGTTATGTATAAGCTGGGTTGACAGATCAGAAATGAGGAGGTGATAAGCCACCTGGGAAAGCCAAGGGAAATCATCAAAACAATTAAAAAACGAAAATTAGAATATTTCGGACATGTGATGTGACACCCAGAAAAATATGGCATACTCCATTTAATCCTCCAAAGAAAGATTGAAGGCAAACGGGTCCAAGCAGAAGAAGAACATCGTGGCTTCAAAATCTAAGGGACTGATTTGGACAAAACTCAACAGCACTTTTTCATGCAGCTGCTGATAAAAACAGGATCGCCTACATGATCGCCAACGTCCGATAACAGATATGGCACAAGAAGAAGAAGCAACAAGCAGCTGCCCCAAGTTGATTGAGAAGTGGGAGCTCCCTCTGTGTTCCCTCTCTTAAAGAAAGGCATCTCTCTGGCCTTCTCAATCACACACACACACACACACACACACACACACACACACACACAATCTGGAAGAATAACCCCTTAGAGATTCGGCATGACTCAAGGGTGACTGATACTTAGGAAAGAAAAAAGCAAGGTTACTTTAGCAGACCTTTGGGGGAATGTGAATTGAGAGAGACCTTCCATGCGAATGACTGCGGGTTCTAATTGCCTACTCAGCAAAGGATTTTGCTACTATTGTGTAAGAAGATTATGAATGTTTATGTTTTTCAGTTATGTTCTTAGCTTTTTTAATTCTGTTAATGCATGGCAGGACTGTAAACTGTTCACGATTGGGGTGGCTATATGCCAAATAAAAATAAAAATATGTATCCTCTTTATATGTTTTTTTTTAAAGTTATGCTCAAAACATACGCTCAGAAACTTCAAATTGATTGAACTGAGTTTTCAGTCTGAGTTAGAATAGACATGGGTATGTGTTGAATAAAAGCCTGATTTTTGATTCATGCACTGAGAAACCTGAAAGTGTTTATAATTGCAGTTCAACTTCCAAGTTCCATGATATTTACTGATTGTGTAATTGCATACCACTGTTCTTTGGTTTTAAGAGAGGTTTTAATTACCTCAGTGCCTCCCAATTTCCTATTGGCTCACTTAAACCTATATTCTGTTATCTTCATACCAGTTAATTAAAGTGACCAGAAAAACAACTTTCAGAAAAGTTGTCTATTTTTTTTGGGATCATGACTGCTGCCTTGTAATTTATATGCCTTTGGAAATTAATGGACTAAGATTGTTGAAGCATCGCAATAAACAGTTTTTATTGTTATAAGTAACAGAATGTGCATGACTTGCAGGTGCTCACCTTAATCTATACATTGATTATAATGCCCTCTGAATGGCTTGAAGAGAGTCATCAACACAGTTTTCTGAATACAGGCAACAGGGCTTGTAGGCCCTAATGCACCTAAGAATGCCTTCCACAAACCCTAGCCACTAATCCGTTCAATTAAACATTTTAAAAAAAAACTTTTATACAGGTAGTCCTCAACTTACAACAGTTCATTTAGTGACTGTTCAAAGTTACAACGGCATTGACAAATATGACCCATGACTGTTTTTCATAGTTACAACCTTTCCAGCATCCCCATGATGATGTGACCAAAATTCAGATGCTTGGCAACTGGTTCATACTTATGACCGTTGCTGTCTCCCAGGGTCATGTGATCACTTTTTGATAAGCAAAGTCAATGGGGAAGCCACATTCACTTAACAACCAGGTCACTAACTTATCAGTTGCAGTGATTCACTTAACAACTGTGGTAACAAAAGTCATAAAATGGGGCAAAATCTACTTAACAAATGTCTCACTTAACAAGAGAAATTTTGGGCTCAATTGTGGTTGTAAGTTGAGAACTATCTGTATATGTGCCTTATTAAATTAACTTGCACTGCAAGTAAGAAGTCAAGATCTCAATAAATAGAATATTTCCTATATTTATGTCATATATAATTTAGGAAAAATAAGTTCATGGTCAACTTTACAATGTAGCTTCTCCCATACTTACCACTTATAGGGACTGGAACACATTGAAGCATGAAAAAGCAAATAAAATATCTGAGACACATTTAAAACCAGCTAGCTACATGTTATGCAATCTCTAAAGTTATAGAAGAATTATAATGGAGATAAGTGAGGTAGGTTTTGCCATTTTTGAAATCCTTTATGCTATTTGTAATCAGCAAATGTTAATACAAGCACTTCAAACTATATTTCACTTGCAAAATATTTAATTAATGAAAAACAATAATATACTATTAGAGACCACATATTTGTCTGAAACGGTGTAGGGTTTCCTGCCTGAGCATGGGATTGGATTAGATGACCTCCAAGGTCTCTTCCAACTTTATTATTATTACTATTATTGTTGTTGTTGCTGTTGTTACATATATTCATTAATACATAAGTCAAGTGCAAACACCCACAACCTCCAGCTAAGGCATCTTGCTTCACATAAATAAAGGTGAAAAAGTTAACAAAAACTAATACCGGGATGGGAATGTATGCTGAATCTGTCTATCTGTCCATTTTACCCTGGGTTTGCTCTTTGAGGTTGTAATAGATTAACCTTTGCATGTCAAAACAATCATGTTTGCCTACTTGGAAGTTCTGATAATGTCACGTCAAATATCAAATATAATTTAGTGCCTTACTTACTACTGCTATTACTAATGTCATATCAAATATAGTTGTTTAGTGCTTTACTACCAGAGTAAATAAAAAGTATTCAGGAAACAATACTGAATTGTCTAGTTTAATTTTTATTGATTGCTTAAGGTTGTAAATTGTAATTCACTAATTATTAAATAGCTGAAGCTAAATAGAGGAGATCTGACATGAAGCTTTGGATGGATCTTACAAGAAAAGACTTAGTATAGATTTCAAACAGATGGGCCTATTCAGTGTTAGGTTTTAGAACAGTGGTTCTCAACCTTTTAAATGCCGCGACCCCCAAGTCGTAAGTCGAGGACTACTCAACCGGTTGTAAGTAAAGGACTACTCAACTGGTGCAGCACCGTTTGCAGAATGGGACTTTTGGCGGGCTCAGCAGGGCAGAGACAGCCTGGACAATTCCTATTGGCTTTTGAAAGCCAATAATATTAGACTCTATTCAAGAAGTCTATTCTATTGGCTTTCAAAAGCCAATAGAATAAAAGGGAGTAGCACAGCTAAGGAAAAGGGGAAAAAAATGGCAGACTGCGTTGTTTGGCGACCCCCGTGAAATGGTCATTCGACCCCAAATGGGGTCCCGACCCACAGGTTGAGAACCATTGTTTTAGAAGGATGTTTTAGAGAGATTTTAGAAGGAAACAGAGGTTAAAAGTGAAGTACTTAAAAAATCTAAGACATTCTTGAACAGAGTGTCCATGGTGGGTATAGCATTTTGATATACCTTTCAGCTTGATCTGTTCTTAGAAAAGTATTAAGACACTAAGTGATTCATGATTCTTATTATTTATACCCACTTTATTTAAAGTGCATAGTCCCTCCTATTGTACTTAAGTTGAAGGTATGTATGTATCATCACAATATCCATGAGCTTTCTAAAAATATACAGATTTGAGCCTGTAACTGCTCAGAATGTCTTGGAATACCTTGGCATTCTGCCTAGAATGCTTGTTCTGCTCCTGGAAAATGTCCTTGATACCAGTGGTATCCTTCTGGATTGCCTGCTTCAGATGGGGGTTGATATACCATATAATCATTTTATTTGGCCAGATATGAATGATAGATTAGTATAATAATTACAGGATTCAATCTTGACTCCCATGCTGTTTAAGATCTACAATGAGCCACAGGTTGAGACTTTTAGGAGAATGCCACCACATCTAACATTATTTTAACTCCTGCAGTATTTTCCTGCCTATAGAGCAGTGATGGTCCAGAATAACTTTACACCACCATCCCTAATTAGCTCCATGCTATCATTTTTTTTCCAGAATGGATTATGTACTGCAGGAGAAAAGTTCTGCCATCAAGCACCCATACCAGATGGGCCACACAATATTCCTTTACTGTGAGAAGAATCTTGGTATCTCTAAGCTGGCATGCTAGAGCAACTTACTGGCAGGCTGAGCTTTGCAGTGGAATACAAAGGGAGTGACAATCACAAATATGGGCAAAACTGACATTTTTATTTTTTTACCCACAGAATTTCAGTAAACATTTTAGACAATGGGCATCTAACCTGCTGTTGTAGATATTGCTGAACTACAATTCCCAAGATTTGTTATTTTTCTGTAGAGTAGAGTTATTTTAGTACCACTATCAGTGGAACTGCATATGGTGCACCCATCTTTCAGCTCCTGAAAATTCTTGCTTACACCAGTATTGTTGGAAAAAATGAAACCTGTACAGGTAGCTCTCAACTTACAACCAATTATTTGGTGACCATTTGAAATTACAATGTCACTGGGGGGAAAAGGGACCAGTGGTCATCACACTTATGACCATCACAGCATCCCCTATGGTCGTGTAATCCAAGTTGGGGTGCTTGGCAACTGGTGTGTATTTGCAATAACTGCAGTATCCTGAGGTCATGTGGTCACCGTTTAGGGCCTTACCAGCCAGCTTCTGAGAAACAGAGTCAATGGGGGAAGCCAGATTCTCTTAATGACCACGTGACCCATCCGTCAACTGCAGTGATTCACTTAAAACCATAGCAAAGAAGGCCGTAAACTAGGCATGACTCCCGTAACAACCACCTGGTTTAACAAGGGAGATTCTGATCCCAATTGTGGTCTAAGTCAAGGACTACCTGTAGCTGAATATACCTCTATATTCTGCTAAGCACCAGGCCAGGAGTAGGCAACCTTGGTTCTTTTATGACTCGTGGACGTCAACTCCCAGAATTCATGAGCCAGCATGGCTGTGAGTTGAAGTCCACGAGTCATAAAAGAGTCAAGGTTGCCTATCCCTGCACCAGGCCCATTTTTTTAAAATCTGTAACTAGCTGCTAGGACATGCAATAAACATGAAAGTCATGAAAGAAAAGAAGATGAAGGACTAAGTCCTCACCTAACACAGCAGTCGGCACAAGTGGATCGTTGGGCACTGCAGGAAAACAAAGCTTATGAAAAAAATTCATTGCCTCCAACTGTTTTTTTTTTTTTTTTTTTAAAGAAGAAAAGAAGCACAGACTTTTTGGAACACACAGCAAAGCCTATTCATCTTATTCATGAAACAGGAAATACAAAACCACGTTGTAAAAAACAATGTTTGCTTTTTTTAAAACAGAATAAACAGTGTGATAAAATTTATACAACTGTTTAAACAGGTTGGATTTAGTCATAATCTAAGCATTTTCTTCCTGAAAGCTAAGGAGAAAAGGCTTAGATAGCTTTACCAGAGCAGCTGCCAAAGGCTAATTCAACCTTAGGAAGCAATTACTGCTCTCAGAATTCTTTGGGCTCAGCAAGGAAGACAAGCCAGAGTTTTAAGCTTCCAAATGTCTTAACTTTCTTAATAGAGCAAAGTTTTGGCATGGCTTGAGTAAAGCTGTGGCTGGCCAACATTCCTAGGGGAATTGGCAAGCAACAATAAAAATCAATTTGGCCTCTTGGGCCCTGCAATTGGTCCTATGCAACATAGGGTTTCATTGCTCATTCCAACCATTATTGGAGATAAGGGAAATACTCTTAGCTGATAGTGCTGGCTTCCCATTCTCAGATTTGGATTTTTCATCAACCACCTTTGCATTGTGTTCTCTATTGTTCAAATTGCTCAGTTATCTATTGAACTGGCTTGGTTTTTTGAAGGGGAACATGGGCCTGAGTAGAAAATAGAGTGGGAAAACTAATTAAAATTACAGCCAAATTTTAAGATGCTTTACAGATGTTCAGGGAAGAAAGGTCTCCTATATACCCTTCCCCCCTTCCCTGTATACCTCTGCATCGCATGCAGTAAAATATTGTTTACAAGAGTTCTTAATACTCTTTTTGGTGATATCCTTATGTTTCTTCAGCTTTGCATCCTAGCCTATAGTAGTTTCTGTTCTGAAGTTATTGGCAGCAGTGCTGTTATGTAACTAGAATAAACAATACCCTTTAATGGAATCATACACAGACATACAGACACACACAGTTACTAATTAGACAAGAATCTAAATATAAATACAATATCCTAAAAGGCTGAAACAAAAAGTAATTCGAGCATCAAATTATTTGTGTATATGTACACACATATGCATAGTAGCTTAATGTGAGAACAATGATTAAAAAAACCTCTGATTATATGGAAATCTGTTTTTCTCAGACATGATTTTACAGATTTTGAGATTCTATTTGCAAAATACAAGGTGTTTTTTACAAAAATATATGCAGTTTTGCAATTTAAGTTTTAAAGAGCTACAATTCTTTCTATATAGAGAGAACAATTGTATCAATCCATATATTGCATGTTCAATATTGAAGGAAAAAAAGTCAACATCTTAATCATTTTCTGTGGATTAATACCAGGAATATATGATGTAATACTAGAGTTTTTAATGAACGAATAGAAAGTAATCATGGCCTGCTGTTTCCGAAGCAATTTACATGCTACAAAACTGCAATAGTAATATACTGGGAGGTCACTTAAAATATTATCTTGAAAAGAAATTTGCTGTGGGAATTTATATATACATTAGTTCTCTAAAGTACTACCCTTTATGTTTCTCATCTTTGGACCCAGCATTTATCAAGCAAAGAACTGGGAAGGTATTAAATTATGGCCTTGGAGTAAACTTTCTACTGCTTTTGTTAGAGAATAGCCTCAGAAAATTATATTTTATAAACATGTATTCTAAATTTCTCTGCGTTTGATTTTTTTTGGTCTGCAAGGACAAACATTTTGTAACTTTACTATAGCATTCCCTTGCATAAAATATATTTTTATGGCACCAAATGCAATGTACAGCAGATATAAACAGAGGTAAGATACTAACTTCAGTGGCAGTGGGACTATCATACTTACATCTGGGGTTGAAGTTATGACAATCTGTAAAGGTGACTGAAAGAGGATCTTCTGCATGGATGGTGCTTTGATCAGCATAACTCCGATCCATGGCATTCACCATATGGGTCATTTCTTGTCTGGTGTTTCCCATGGCATCCTTGCGCTTCTTAGCCAGTTTACTGCCCAACCAAAATCAAGAAAAGAAAAGCTTTAAAAAGTAATCACACTTTTATTATCTAATCTTAACAGTCCATTCAATGGTGAATGAATCTGTTAGACTACTGTAGAGTTTATGGTAGCCATATACTTGAGTTTCCTATCCTAACTTTTGGGGGGAAAGCTACATTTGCAATTTAAGACATTTAGGGAATCAGTATGCATACAGAGATATTAATTCAATTCTAGAGGGAATCACTTTTCAGCAGGCAAGTTCAGGAGTTTAGCTCTACACAATTCATCTTTTTACAATACCAGAATATGGCAACAATAGAAATGTTATACACATTTGCTTCTTATAACAGTTGCCAATGTTAGAGCTACTTTGCACTGTTGCAAATGCACATTATTTGAATATTCATAATTATTCAAATGAGAACTTTGGCCATTGTTTTATTTCTTTGTGAGCATATCCTATTTTTTTAAAAAATAATTAGTACATTATGATGGTATAAATAAAAATCTGAAAAAAATACCTTAATAGGTAACACTTTATAATTAAATTCTCCATTCCATCTATATTATGAAACATGGTTTGATCATTCCCAGCATACACATTCTTGGGTAAATATATATCAACAAAATCAGGAATATAATTGTATATTTATTTAAGCTACCAATTATTTTCACTTATTTTTTTTCCTGTAGCATGACGAATAGGAAAAGGGACAAAGTTTCTCTTTCAATATTTGCACTTTTTATTGGTTTTACCTGTTTGTACATCATGTTCAATATTTCCCAGTATGCTTTTTAATACATATATGAAAATGTTGAGGTAGGTTATACTGAGTTTGGGACTTATGCTACGAATATGTTTATATCACTACTTGTTTTTTTTTTTTTATTTCCATTGACATCCAAGGAAGGTATTTCGTTTTTAAACTAATTTCCTGTGTTGGCAATACATGGGAAGAAATCAAACAAAGGCTTAATCCAGAAAAATCAAGAGTCAAGATAATTTTGGTCAAGAGAGGCATTGAATTTTTATAGAATTCAAGTCTTCCTCAAGATATGTTTAGCGCTTTGTACTCTCAGAACTAGTCTTGAAACTGGAACCACAAATTTAGGCCAAGCTGGGAATAAATCAAGAAGACCAGCTGGATTTATGTTTGGGACTGTCAAATCTGACTTTGATGATGTATAACTTGTATCTGCACTACTTTTATTCACATATTATTTTATTACTATAGGATATATTATCTGTTTTATTTTATTAAATGCCATGGCTGATATTCTTATTTTGTATACCTATCTCTACCTCTGTCTAATTATTTATCTATCTACACTGTTTTTTCATGTATAAATTCAGTGTCAGTCACACAATTTGACAATCTCACAAGAACTGAGAGGGGTAGGCAACCTTGGCTCTTTTTTGACTCGTGGACTTCAACTCCCATGCTGGCTCAGGAATTCTGGGAGCTGAAGTCCACAAGTCATAAAAGAGCCAAGGTTGCCTACCCCTGATCTATGAAGTTAGCATCCACTTACAAGCACATATTATTATGTTCCATGGCAGCAACTAATTGTGTCTCTAAGTTATGACCAATTGTTACAGGCAGTTTTATTCTAAAATCCACAAGGCAGAGTGATAGCATTAAGTAGTCAACATTGTCCACGTTGATGCCCATTCTAAACTATATAAATAAAATGTCCCTGTGATTGTTTATCACAATACTTACTAAGTGAAGCTAAAGATGCCTCCCCTACAGAGATGTTCACAAATTATCTTGCCGTGACTTTATATAATAAAAAGAAAGGCAGATGATTTCCTCCTTAAAATAGATGTCACTGAACGCAACTTAATGCCATTAAGACCTACTTAGGAAATCACTTTTATCATTCTTATTCTCAGGGAAAATCCAGTCAAAGGTAATGTAAGGACCTGGAATTTGACAATTATAAAAAAAATACTATAGTATTGGAAAAGTACTCTTTAAGTGCTTTGTCACATTAACCTAGATTGCTTCATACTTGATCCACTTATTAAGACATAAGGACATTTATTCATTTTTGGCATTTGGTATATGGCATATTAAAGAAACGTTAAAGTTCTCGTGGCACCACAAAACAGCTGCTGGGAAGGAGAGAAGGGCAGAAGCTCAGTAACAAAATATGAGTATTTTTTTTTCAGGAAAAAAAAAAAAGATTGAACACTAAATCCTATATTTCTTTATTTGACCTCCCAACACAAATGTATCTCCCTCTCTTAGAAAGAAAACTGATGAAGCTCAAGAATAAATAATTGGGCCAAAGTACTTATCTAACAACATAAGACTTGCCAAGGTCACCTTAATCCAGCATTTTGTTTCCCACAAAAGATAATCAGATGCTGCAGGTGCTACCAAGAATCTGTTCCCTTAAAGCAAAAGATATTGGTTTAACCAAAGGTAACATGGCAACGTTAAGAAAAACTCTCTTCCCGAGGGAAGAAAGGAGAGGAGAGAGAAAAGAGTAAAGGGGGGGAGAAGGAAGTAGGAAGGTTGGAGGAAGAGGAAAGGGGAGGAGAGTGGTAAAGGAGAGGAGAGGAAGAAGAGGGAAGTAGGGAAGAGAAGAAAGGGAGAAAGAAGGTAGAGAAGAAGGAGTGTGGATACGGTGAAAGGGGAAATGGGCGAGCAACACCAAAAGTTATGTGTATGTATTTATTTCATTTTGTTAAAAGTACCGTAAATGCCGGCGTACAAGGCGACCCGGCGTATAAGATGACCCCCGTCTTTATAGCCGGGCTGCATTCCTAGAACGTCGTCTTATATGCCGGAAACTACCAGTATTTCCGGTGTATAAGACAACTCGGCGTATAAGACGACCCCCGTCTTTGGCGCCGATTTCAGCGCTCGCGGAAGTCGCCTTATACGCTGGCATTTACGGTATCTGTATGTGAGTGTGGAGGGAATGTATGTTAACGTCTGATAAGTATTACGGTATATGTATGGGGGAGAGTTTGGAAAAATAAAAAATTATTAAAAAAAAGAAAAGAAAAACTCTCTTCCCCAAACTGTGCATGTAAACACATATAAACAAAAACAGAGTATGTTTTCCTCCATCCCAAAACAAGAAGAAAGAGAGAATGAAGCTGGTAGCTGGGAGAACTGTAGAGTGGAAAAAGACCACATTAGCCTGCAAACCAGACATCTTAATGGGAATAGCTTAAGAAAATTGGGCAAGGAGACTATCCTTGGTGACTACAAGCTTCCTTCTGTCCGAATTTATCCAGTGGGATGGAAGGAACCTGATAAGTGCCTGAGCCGAGGTGGCGCAGCAGTTAGAGTGCAGTACTGCAGGCCACTTTAGCTGACTGTGTTCAGCAGGTCAGCGGTTCAAATCTCACTGGCTCAAGGTTGACTCAGCCTTCCATCCTTCTGAGGTAGGTAAAATGAGGACCTAGATTGTTGGGGGCAATGTAAATATATATACATACATTGCTTACTGGTGTACACCGCTTAGAGAGTGCTTACACTTAAAGCGGTATATAAGTCTCATAAAGAAATAAATAAAAATATAGATCAGGTAGGGGGGGAATGAAAATCAACAAAGTATTGTGCTAATGAGATTTTTAGGAGAAAAACAATCCCTCCCCAATGGTAGGTGTCCTACCAGATCTGAAGACATGCAAGAAGAACTAATGGGTGGCAGATTTGAATTGTTCCATACAGAAGAGGTAGGGGAAAATGTTTGTTTTCCCTCTATGTACTGGTCACATTACAAAAGGAACCTTTGTACAGATAGTCCTCGGCTTACAACAGTGCAATTACTGACTGTTCAAAGTTACAGCAGCACTTATAAAAGTGACTTATGACCGTTTTTCAAACTTATGACTATTGCAGCATCCTTATGGTCATCTGAACAAAATTCAGACGCTTGGCAACTGACTCTTATTTATGACAATCACAGTGTCCTGGAGTCACGTTATCACCTTTTGTGACCTTCTGACAACCAAAGTCAATGAGGAAGCCAAATTAGTTTAACAACCATGTTACTAACTTAACAATTGCAATGATTCACTTAACAACTATGGCAAGAAAGGTAAAAAAAAATGGGGTAAAATTCATTTAACAATTGTCTCGCTTAGCAGCAGAAATCTGGGGCTATATTATGGTCATAAGTTGAGGACTATCTGTACATTTAAATTCAGGTAGAGTTGAAGACACACTAGTAAATTCCAACTTCTTGTGGCCATGTGGACATCTCCATGGAGAGGTTATTTTTGGCAAATTACTGAAGTTCTTTCTTATTTTTTTCTTGTAGGATGTTCATTTTATTTCCTAGTCTAGTTTGCAGTCCTTGGATTTCCTGGTAATTGCTCATCGAAGCACTAACAAGACCCAGCTTTAAAATATTTGCCCTATGGTTAAATCCTACTACAGTATAATAGCTGTCCTCTTGCATGGGTGGGGAAAATAACAGAGTGAAACTGATGGTGATTGTTCCAAATTTCAGGTACTACCTTGTTGTGTACACATAATCTACATGGCAGAAAATCAGAAACTTTCTACATGCTTGTATATTTACAGGTCCGAATAAGCTTGTTTTCATTAACTGGAATACAGGCAATTTATTGCTATTCTTTAATTTCGCACTTTGTTCAAGGCATGCATTATTCTGATAGCTTTACCATTCTTCACACTAAAGTTTTCAATTAAATTATTCAATCTTAATGTCACCTCTAGGACAGGAGAAAAAGAAAATTAACCAGTTGCATTTTACTAAATCTCTTTCTGAAGCACCAATTTATAAATCTTCACAAAAAATCCTCCAGGATTTGAAGTGGAGTTCCGAGATTCAACTAGATTGAACTAACTTTCTGGATAGGACAAGCTGAAAAACCAACAGCATTTCAGTCTTCAAGAAGCAAAGACATGAAAAAGTTAATTTCTATGAAAAGGCCGCAGCAGATTTAGGGAATTTCCACACATGATTTCTGAAGTGATGATTGCCAGGAAAAGGAAAGTACATTAAGTTTGTCATCAAACAGTCAATAAACTATGCTATAATAATAAACTTTCCTTAAGATATTGTATGTTCAGACTTCTGAATTTCACAATTATTCATCTGAAAGAAGAGAGGATAATGCTAAAATGTGGAGAAGGAAGGAAACAAGCGATTAATGTTCAACTCAGGTTTGCTGTTAGTTACAGAGAATGTTCTGCAAACATTCCAATTAGGTCTAATGAGTTGCTGATGCAGCTTTATTTTGAACCTAGAATCTTCCCCAAGGACTTGCTGGGGCAGAAAAAGGAACATGCTAATAAAAATGGTTGATTCCTCCATGGTTGGGGGAGGGGGAAAAACTATCCAACACTTCCAACCCATCTATTCTTAGGTGAAACTTAAAAGTACTGTGGTAGTCACAAACAGAAAATAATAGAAAGAATAAGAAATTTGATTTTGGATAAATATATATAAGCACACATACAATATGAATATTTTTATGTTGCTAGGTAACATTATAGAATGTTATTATTTTAAAGAGATACATAAGATGAAGCCTCCCCCAAAATCTTGGCTGCAAAGAAGACTCCTTGTAAGATGCCTATGAAATTGAATGTTATTGTGTGTGTGTGTGTGTGTGTGTGTATACGTATGTGTATATGTATACATACAAATGGAGGAGAGCCAGGTGAATCTATGATAGGCCAAAACCAAAAATCTGATAGCACCTTTTCATATTAACAATTTTAATTAAAAGACATACACTAAATGTTTGTGGACTGCAGCTTATGCAATGATATCGGATTAAATCAAATATCGGTATCGACTTTTTGGAAAGTGAACCAATAAAAAACACGAAGTATGTTCCTCAGCCTGAAAAATTTTGTACATCTCCAATTAAAGGTACCATAAAAGTTTTTGTCTATATTTTTTATAATCAACCTTGCAACTCTTCTTGAAAATGTGGTTTTGTAGAAACAGATCCTCAGATTCAGCGATAGTATTCTCTGAATCATAGTATTCCCCCCAAAACTTTCTAATTTTAGCAAACAGTAACTCCATGTACCATTGGTTCTTCAGCTCAGGACAGACAGCTAAGAAATGCTGAACGTGTGGTAGCATCTGGCTTTGTCTGAGTCTGAAATAATGGACCTGGTTGGTACTTGGATGACTATGTACAGAATGGGAATTACTATAAGCTACACTGAGAATTGGAAAAAATATAATGGAAATTAAGAAAGTAAGCCACTTTCATATCATTTCTAAGAAAACAAGATTAACACATCCCTGAAATCATCAGCCATCAAGAATAACTCCCAGGAGAGTTAAATACTTTAGATACTAATTATAGAACAGTATTATTAGTTGTGACATAATTCTTCTGCCTACATCTACAGAACTATTTCAAAAAGAGTCCTAGTGAGAGGGAAGATATATCCTATGTACATATTTAATTATTCCTAGCTGTGCAAATTGTTATTTAAAAAGGGAATTGCAATTTTTCATAATAAACCAAAGGACATCAGTCTACAGAGGTTTAGTTAGGTTTTCTTATAACCAAAACAACAACAACAACAATTTCTACAGCAAAGTTTTGATAACTTTGCTTTAACTAAGGCTTTGACTTAGCAGATTTTGGACGCAGTGGACAAAATATATCTGTTTTTGCATGCAGCCCATTTGGTATTTTAAGCATTTGTAAAATACACATCCTAAAATCACATTTAGATTCTATGCACATTCTCCTTTAAACCAACCTGACCTTTTCCCTATTAACACATTAAATCCAGGATTTATTCTGTTTGGCAAATTATTACTATTTATTTGCCAAACAAAGCTTCATTGAAATGCAAGCTGGTGCATGCTTATATGATAGGCATATTTAATTTTGCTTAAATTCTGCCTATAAGAGATCTCTTCAAAATAGCAACAATCAGATATTCAAGCTGGAATACAAACTATATTTTGATATACTTGAAGGTTCTGATTCTTCAGAGAAAAGTAAAATCAGCATTCCATAATGATTAATCAGTGACTGCCCAATCAAGAGTCCACCTATGTCCCTTTCAATATATGACCTGAAATAACTAGGATTAAGAAGCTTACTAACTTGATGGTGATAGTAATATATTGTTATCATGTTTTATTATATCTGATAATCTTATTCTCTATTAAAGAGTCAAAGCCATTTTAAAGCTCACAAGTTAATTAACCAGGTTGATTTATTAATTTAATTAATAAAACTGTGCTTTTAAATTGCACTTTGAGCATATTTACTGTTCTAAATATGGTAAATTTCAACATATAAAAATTGCTCCAGACCTTCTATTATCTTGAAACTATTTCTAGCTACTATCAGAAGGGGTGCATGCATTTATTTTCACTTTCCTGAGCATGACTGAATGATCATGGTGGTTGGGAGCAAAGAGATTTAAGAAAATAACTTTCTGCTTCCTTGTACTACTATATTTACTTCTAGCTACAGAGTGGTAATAAACACAGGATATTTTTATTGCCTAGGCCAGGGGTCTGCAACCTTGACAACTTTAAGACTTGTGGACTTCAGCTCCCAGAATTCCTCAGCCAGCTGCTGACTGAGGAATTCTGGAAGCTGAAGTCCACAAGTCTTAAAAGTTGTCAAGGTTGCAGACCCCTGGCCTAGGAGAAAAGGTAACTGCAGCTAGCAATTGAAGAGGAACCTTAAAGGAGAAGGAATTGAGGTAGAAAATGTGTTCAGTTTTATGTCACCAATAATGCCAGATCCAATATCAGTTGGATCTAATTCTCCCAGTGATTAAATAGGAATCACACTTCCCATTGTACTACACTGCTGGAAATGGATGCTGATGGTATCAGTCATTTCTTTCCCTTTTGAATGGCAGTACTGTATGTTCCCTATCAATTCCCTAAAATAAGATGGAGTTACAACCATGGTCCTTCTCATCAAAAGACAATGTCTGACATATAGAACTCAAGCTTGACTTAGAATGAAAATAAACAGTGGTGATATATTTTTTAAAAAAGGTCCATGTGTGGGTAGCCTACGTCCAATTAAGATACAATAACTTTAAAAATAAAACAATCCCCCTAAAATTATATGTGGCTCTGTAAAAACTGTCAAATATGACATGGGAAATTTTAGTGAAATATTAATCCTATTTCCAGACTTTTTTTTTTTAATGAAAAGGGATACTGCATCTTCAAAACATATAAAGAAGTAAGTCACCCATTTCTACTTACAGGTAGTAGGAGTAAGAATAGTAGCTCCTCCTGGTAAGCAAATCACAGACAGTGGGAAAAAAGAAGCAATGGTGAATGAAAAGCGTGACTCTGTCACATTCAATAAAGCAGAGAAATGTGCGTTTAAAAAAAATTAAAAATTCATGTTTTCTTTGTTAGCATTACAATCTTGCTCATGCACTGATTAGCCTCACAGAGCCATGCAATTAAAAAAAATATGTTAGCACATAAAAAAAGGTTTCAAGAACAGAGGGAGTTCACTAGAGAAAAATGACATGCTAACACTTCATTTATTGCAGAAAAAAATGGAAACCAAACTGGGTTATGTTAGTTCAGCATGCAGCATAAATGTGATGGCTGATTAACTACAGTATCTAAATGCAATGAAATACAAAACAGCTGTGTACAGTTCTTGTGCTCTAAAGTTTAGTTTCTTTCTTTTTTCTTTTAGCTTTCAATTACAAACTCAAAGACTAGTAGTGGCAGAGACAGGTTAAGCAACAACTACTGTAAGACAATTACGTACAGGTATACAGGTGCAAATTTTTGCTAAGCCATAATATTTTATTGGTTTTCAGATGAATAATATGCAAATAAAGTCATTATGGCATTTGTATGTGACAACCAGGCAACTATAGCTCATCCAAAAAAAGAGGGGGGGGGGATTAAAGACAACCAGAAGAGAGGCTTAATATTATGTATGGATGCAGCCAATGTGCTATGCTCTGGCATTCTACAGTAGATATGTGTGTAAATTAAACCCATATATACACGCACAGCTGCTGTTTTAAAATTTTTAAACTGAAAATACTGATATATGCATACCTAGCTTCAAAGATAAGAAATAAACAAATGGAAGGAGATGATGTACATTTGGAAATATTTCAACAATGGTTAAAAAAATCCAATAGTTGCTATTCAAGAGTTGCAGTATCCCTTTTCTTAAAATTCAGCTGTATAACTTTGTAAAACTCTATAGTAACTAATAGAGTTTCCATCCACTTCAAAATCGGTACAAAATGATAAGGCAAAGCATAAGAACATCTCTGATTTGTGAAATCATAAGTAAGTGCTTACCAATCAATGTTCCCCTCCCCCATTAGTTCAAATTTGAAAAGCTAGGCAAAATTAAAGCTGTAAAATCCGTGTGAAATTCAGAAGATTTTTCTGAGTTTTCTAAAAATGTTGATGTATCAAAAGGGATACCACATAATGGAATCTCTAATTTGTATGTACAGAATTATAATCAATATAATTGTTTTATAGCACCTGGAATACACTAAGCACTTAGGGTTAAAGCAGAAAGCATTTTCTAAGACCATTGTGTTTACATGCTGCTATGTATGTAAAGAAATATTTCTTTATTCAGCAAAAATATAAGTTTCCGTAATTCACAGAAGAATGGATTCATTAAGAATCCAATTAAAATGGAGGCCTGGATGGATCCTTTTGTCCAGTGACATCAGTCCTAGTCAGAAAGAGAAGAAAGAGCTCCATGCAAGAATCAAGTATCACAGGGACCAATGGGTTGAAACTAAGGTAAGAAAGTATATGCTTATATATGTGAATATAGGAAATGCAATATAGGAAAGGTTAGTAATGTAAATGGATTTAAATCTCCACTTATGCTTAAAAAGATCCTGGTTTTTTGAGTGCGGTTCCATGTTAAGAAGCTGCTTGAAAATCAGGATAAATTTAAGTACCGTACATTCTTACTGTGTAAGAATCCAATGGGAAGCTGTTCACACAAATGGCTTATTGGATACTTATCCATTATCTATCTCCATCTCTATCTTCAAATGTCTTTTCAGTGGGGAAGGGATTTTGAAGGGTGTCCAAGAGCCAAGAGCTAGGTATAATGTACTAGCCACATGACCCCATGCTAACTCTTGAAAACCCTTGTAAATTTGACTTCCGACAACAGACCAAGCTAAGGATGGTAGCAGCTAAACATTCAGGAGGGAGGAAATTTTTTTTTCATTTATCTCTTTTGCAAGCTAATTTTCACTGGATTTAGGTGAAGAAAGAGCTCCATGCAAGAATCAAGTATCGCAGGTGAAAATACCCATTATGGAGTGATATGATCAGTGCTTTTTTTCTAAAAAAAAAAAAAAGGTGCCGGAAATCATACACATCATACAACCCACCTTGCCTACCCTACAAGGTTCCATCTAAAAAAGCTGCCGGAACTCTGTTCTGGACGTTCTATGAGAAAAAAGGCCCTGGATATGATCAAGTAAAGAAGGGGACTAGTTAGTGATTCTTCCTGTAATGCACATCTGACTGAACCTTTTCACTCTTTTCTGTATGCTGGTGTTGTGTAAAGATGTCTGTTTATTGCTTATTTTGGAAGGGAAGAAAGAAACAGAGTGGCTTTTCTATCAGACTAGTTATTCTCATTAGAAAAAATTAAATAAAATAAAAATTGCTACCTAATTTAACCGTGTTTCAGGTTTTGGTGTTAAAGAATTTTATAGCAATATACTATAGTCAGTGTAGGTGCGGTGGCTCAATGGCTTAAAAGACGCTGGAGAAGGTCCCTACCGTGGCAGTTAAAGTCCTATCACTTAATGCAGAGAATAAGCTCCCGTCATGTGCCTCAGCTCCTGTCAACCCAGCAATTTGAAAGCATGTAAACGCAAATAGATAAATGGGTACCACTCTGATGGGAAGGTAACAATGATCCATGTTTCACCATATGCTTTGTGCTGTGGCGTGATGTCATGCTGGCCACATGACCGCAGAAATGTCTTCAGACAGCACTGGCTCAATGGTTTAAAAAAACAGAGTTAAACATTGCCCCTAAAGTCAGCTACTATTAGCAGAGTAAAACCTACAGGGACTCTTTTATCTTTTACTATAGGTAGTTTATCAACTCATAGAAGAAACATGGGAATCCAATACCAAATAAATCTAAATCCAGCTAAAATAAGAAATTGAAATGTGGAATTTTTCAGGGCTGATAACACTCTCCAATAATATTTCTGTGAAAATTCCAGACAAAGAATAGCTGTCTACTTAATGTAACAAATGGGAAAGGTTTCCATCCATCTCCTTTTAATCTGAATTAAGAGAGTTCACGAGAAAATTCTTACACATTATGAAATAGATCAATGTGATAAAGGTTTACACATTGCAAGGTCAGCAAACTTATTAATGACATGATAAATTAAGAAAGGTGGCACATAGCTATGAAAATGTCATGCAAATTAAACATGAGATGCTGATGAACTAGATCAGGTAATGGACCGTGCATCTGATAATACTCTTCCACTGAAATTGATTTCCTCAAATAGGAAGAAACCCCCACCCCACCCCTGTAAAATGACTACTGCAATATAATTTAAGAAACTGTTGACAAACTGTCTACTTCTGCAAAGTGTAGTTTGTAACAGCGTGGAGGTGTTCTCCCTACTGGAAATGAAATGAGAACTGAAAACTTTCTGTGGATCATAGCTGAAATTCACCAGAATGCTGGTGAATCCAAGCTTACCAACCTCCAAGGCAGAGATGCTCCCCAATATTAAGCAAAGTGAATTGCAAAATGTCCAGCCTATTCTTTGAGGTGGACTTAAAGGAAATCTCAAAGGCCTTTCCCCCCCAGAGTATAAGATCTGTATCTCCATGATCACTCGCAAATGTAACGTTTACTCTGCTGGCCCAATTATTTTATGAAAGCAGCTTTAAAACGTATACAACTAACTGTGTCCTCAGTGTTGCTAGTGGAAAAGCCATTATAATTGATCACAGGTTAGCCTCACAGAAAGATCTAATAGTTTGGTGTAAATGTCAGCATGAGTGCTGACATTATGATAGGTTTGTAAGGAAGTGTCACATCCCTAGGAGCAGCTTATGGCTATCTGATATTCTGAGGACATTTCTCACTGGCCTGTCTTTACAGTTCTGACGATCACATTTCTTCATCATTTGTCAAGGAGAACTTCCAGCTAAAAAGCAAGGCAGCTATTTACTGATCTGCCCCTTAATTTCCACAGATGGATTTATCATCATTTTGCTATGAACTGGTTTGTAGTATATACATTTATTTTTAAGCACAGAGGTACACAACAGGAAAAAAAAGTGAAAGCACTATTGGGAGAAATCACATATGTGTCTAACTAACACAAAACACTATTAGCATACCTAAGGGTTCTAATGCAGACGTTTCTCCTCCATGTTATATATCTCCAGGGGAATCATTGTAAAAAGGCAATAAATTAAAAAAAAATCTATTGGAAACCATTAAGACATAAATATGATTTTTAGGCACAGTTGTCTAGTTTTTTTCTACTTGGAAAACTGGAACAGAAAATTTATTTCACTCTAACATAGATAAGAGATGTAAAAATACCCTTATTTTTATTCCTTCCTTGCCTAGAATAAAAATAATTTTGCAATAGATCTCTGAAGCAAGACATCTACAGCTCGGTTGATAGAACAAATATTCTGAATCCATAAATTCTGCATATGATTTTTATCATCTCCACTTAAGGGATCACAAGTGTCAGGTGATATGAGAGACCTTTCAGTTATATTTTAAAGAAGTAGCTCTCTATCCATCAGTTCTAGGCTAGATGGAACAAATCACTTTTGACATAAGCAGCTTCATATTAAACAGTCATATGCTCATCCAAATGTGAGATACAGAAACAGCAAGGAAAAAAAGATCTGAAAAGAATTTATTGAGTCACATATGTTGATTATGAAAATGTGTGTCAATTAACAAAGTGTATGAAACTTACCAATAAATGTATTTTTTTTAAAAAAAAATATAGATTTTTTTTTCTTTCAGAATTACTTCTAATTCCAGAAGGTGGTGCTATTGATTTTTGTTGTTATTTTGAAATTGCTAAGATTTCTTTCTTTTTTTTTTAAGAAATGAGACACCATTTAATATACTTTTGCATTTTAAGGTCTGCAGGCCTATAACCCAATGGAAAATTTATGATAAGGTAATGTGATTTTAACTATAATTTTCATCACTTATAAAAATATAAATGAAGGCAACATAGCCTGTAAAATATTTTCCAAGATAAGTAGGCCAGACATTTCATAACACAAGAGAATAAGCTGGGCTAATTGAAACAAGTTCAGCTTAAACCTAATAAAATATAAAAAATGTTATGAAGATAAAAAGGTATTATTTCAATTTCACCAGTCATTGTGTTTACAGTTTGTACAACTCAATACTAAAAAAAAAAAAAAAAAAAGATTTCTACAATGGAGTATTGGTTTCTGACTTTGTGATAAGGATGCTCTCCCTGCTACCATTTTCCTACAATGATCTATGAACAAATTTCTTATCATTTATCTGAACTAAAAGAAAATGGCAAATTTACCATACTTACCTTTTTTTGACAATTAATATGACAAGGAGGAGGATGAGAATGAAGACAAGGATTCCAGCACTTATTCCTGCTATTTTCACTACGCGGTCAGTCTGCTTGGCTGGGTCTGGAATAACTTCTGGTTCTTCTGTTGCAGCTGCTGGGAGAAGCAGTATTAAAAGTTACTTGAACTGTTTTAACCATTGCTCCCATCCAAAGGGGCTCTGGCTCTGCAACTGTTCATTGATGTAGTACTAGACCAGTGATTCTCAACCTTTCTAATGCCGTGACCCCATAATACAGTTCCCCATGTTGTGGTGACCCCCAAGTGGGTGTGGCCACCAATAAGAGGGAGTAGGACAGCTAGGGAAAAGGGAAAAATGGCAGACAGCATGGTTTGGCGACCCCCGTGAAATGGTCATTCAACCCCAAATGGGGTCCCGACCCACAGGTTGAGAACCACTGTACTAGACCAAGAAGAAGAACCATCTTACACAGATCTATTAGATCCTTGGTGGCACAAGTGGTTAGAATGTAGTATTGTAGGCTGACTCTGCCCATAATCAGGAGTTCAGTCCTGACTGGGCTCGAGGTTGATGCAGCCTTCCATCCTTACAAGATTGGTAAAATGATGCCCAGATTGCTGTGGACAATATGCTGACATTTGTAAACCACTTAGAGAGTGCTGTAAAGCACTATGAAGCTGTATATATGTGTAAGTGCTGTTGATATTAGGGCATACATTTTCCTTCAAGAGTAAGAATGTCTAGGACTGCTTTAACTTGCACTTCCTGTAAGGTGAAAAAAGGTTACCCTCAAATAATGGTTAAAGTGAGAATTTGCCGTTTGATTGGTAAAAGACACATAAGTTACCTCATGTTTCCCCCCCCATTTTACTCTGCATCTACCTAACCACATGTTATTAAATAATTCAAAAACAATAATGAGTCTCCATGGCCTAACAGGCTTCTATTGTTTTGGTGTTATATTTTAAGGACCAGTTGCCACCAGATATTGCTGACTCTCCCAATACTTTCCACTAACATGGCTAATGGGGAAGGATGCTAGAAATGATATTTGACAGCAATAGTTGAAGAGCTTTAGGATCTCTCCCCTATTTTAGGCTATCCTGCCCAGATATATAAAATATTAGTTTCATTTGCTAGATACAATATTAGGATTTTAGTTGGCTATATGCCCTTTCTTGTAACTGATTTTACACTGTTCGTTTATCCAAGTACATGAATTATACATGAAATAATTAGAGATACCAAAACAAATCAGAATACTTGTAATGAGCTACTGCAGTGCAGGTAGTGCCTTATTTTCTGAAAGAATATAAAATTTGGGCTAACTAATGATTTATGCCTGCTTTCCATCCACTCAGCAGAGTTCTACTAAACTGCCATTAGATACTTGAAACACTAAAAATAGAGGAAAAGTCTTCACCCTTTTCCCCTGAAAACCAAACTCCCAAGAGTTTTTTTAAAAAAAATCAAGAAGGCAACAGCAACTGGAAGGCACTACTTCTTACCACATATACAAAGTATTGTGTTTGTTCATTTGCAGATAAGGGCAACTACTGTGGAAGAGTCTGCAACGTCCAAATAAGCTCTGCTAAAATATATGTAAAAGAGGAAAGCTTGCAAGTAAATCAGAGATGCAGAATACAATAATTAAAAAGCAGAGTAGACAACATCCAAATAACCTCTGCTAAAATATATGTAAAAGAGAAAAGCTTGCAAGTAAATCAGAGATGCAGAATATAATAATTAAAAAGCAGAGTAGACAAGAATATGCCACCTGCCATTAACCAAGAAATGGGTCCCTGCACACCTTAAAGATTTTAAGTATTTGTATTTCATTTCTATTTTTCTATTTACTATTGTTACAAAATTAAATTTTTCTATTTTCAAGGAGAAAACTTGACTGTATCTAGGAGGAGTGATGATCACGATAATATCTAGTCATGTTATTTGGGACTCCTTTGGCATGTGTGACAGTGTGATATGAAGCGTGTGACACTGTGACAGTGATATGAAGAGGGCATTTCCCAGCATAGCCTATGATATCTGATATCCTTCTCCTTCAAGGTAATTTCATGGGTCTGGAGATATGACTAGTTAGGGAAGTGGTCAATGACTCTGTGGAATAGCACATTGCCCATAGCACTGAAACATCTTCTTAAAAAGCCCACTAAGAATCTGGCCTGTTATATCATTCAGCCTCCATATCTCTCTGCTAGGAAACTGCTGGAGAGATCATCCATTATTTTGGAGTACAGCAGTGTTTCTCAACCTTGACCATTTTAAGGCATGTGGACTTCAACTCCCAGAATTCCACAGCCAGCATTGCTGGCTGTGGAATTCTGGGAGTTGAAGTCCACATGCCTTAAAATGGTCAAGGTTGAGAAACACTGGAGTACAGTATCACCAATATGCTGATGATACCTAATTGTACAATGTGAGTGATGTTACAATAGTAACTCATGCCTCCATATCTATGCAAGTTGATAACTGCAACATGTTGTACATAACATACCTTTGAAGACTTGGAAACTGCAGTTAGTTCAAAATGCAGCAGATATTTATTATCTGGTGCTGAATAAGTACACCACACCTCTGCTGCTGGCCTTGCGTTGCCTTTCAGCTAGTTTCCAAGCATGATTCAAATTGCGGTTCGAATGGCTTTGCATCTAGACATTTACAGGACCACCCCTTCTAACCAGAATTAACTACTCTGATGTAATAACTCCAGCAGAAACTGTTTTTTGTACCCCACTTCTGGGAGCTGAAGGTCTAGTAAGTCTTGCAGGCTTTGTTTTTCACTGATGGTGTTTTTGTTATGGAATGGCCTCCCACTTAAGTTTGAGGCCAGTTTCCTTTTAGTTGCTTTCTAGAAATAGGTTAAAATGAATCTTTTCCAGAGGGTATCTGGGACACTAGGGTGACACTACCTGTTACTAGTTATTTGATAATATAATAATAAAATTTAATATAATTAACTTTGATATAGGAATGATGGGAACATTTGACCTTGGATTAAATCACACTGGAGCAGACTCTCTGCTTGGGGATTCCAAAGAGCCTCTAGTTTTCAGATGAGCTAGGTAGATAGCATGTTGCTGGAAGAAAACAAGGAGCAAATCCAACTGAACGTGGGTAAGAGCCCTTGTAAGGGGTACTTTGTGGCAATAAGAGTGCCTAAATGTAATTCTTTTCCCACTCTTATCAGGCTGGCAGATACTCAGCTGGAAAAAGAGACAATTATATGCCAATTGTGCCCATTTCAGGGTTGGGAAAATATGCTCACAGTCACTCAGGTCTTGGTTAATTCCTATTTGGACTACTATAATGTATTTTACATGGGGCCTGTCTTGAAGACCACCTAGATTCCTAGAAACTGCATGTAATCCAGAATGCATTGGTCCTGGTAGTTATGAATGCACCATAGTATCATCACTGAATCAGAAGTTAACACAGGTTCCTTATGAGTTTCCAAGTGCAATTCAAAATGCTGGTTACTACCTCTATAGCCCTTCAGGCCAGATTATCCATGGTTCCTCCAAGTCTCAAATTGTCTCTGCCTGTTCCACAGGTTCTAGCAGAGTGGCTTGACATTGTTTTACAGAATGGCTTCTGTAAAACAATGTCAACTAGTTGGACCCAGGGGATGAAGTTTTTCTGTCACTCAATTTATAGTATATCTTCAGAAATTCAGGTGGCTCAAATCCTGTTGGCTTTTGATCAGGTAAAAAAGCCAACAAGATTTGGTAAAATTCTTTTTTTTTCTTCTCAGCAATGCACTAGAGTATTGGATAAACCTAACCCTTGGCATTCACTGTGCTTTATTATAGTACATTTTTATTAGCTATTTTGTTTTGATGTTTTTAACTCTTTATTAGCTACCCAGAGTCATTATGTGGGTAACCACATACATCATTTCAATAACTACATACAAACAAATATGTTGAAAAAAGCAAGCTGGGGATTAATTTGTATTGTGGGAGAGATATTTGGGTGGACATGGTGCTCATATCCCTTTTATAAAGTCTCTTCTTTTGGTTGCATATGTTGATGTGTATTATCTATTCCCTCCATCTTTAAAGATATCCTGTTTTTTCAATTTAGTGCTCCTCAAAAAATTGTGAAAGATTTGTTTTGTGCTAAACTTGTTCTATTTTGCTTTACAACTCTTGTAAGAAAGAAACTATGTACAGTAGCCCTTATATTTATTTGGTTTTGCTTATGTCTAAACTGAATTGTTATCCTTGTCAAACATCCTGTATCTTACAGAGTTAACAGTTGTGTTAAAGTACTATTGCTCATGATGAGTGCAAGCCCATTAACACATCTTTTTGAAAGAAATGCACAGTGGAAACTTGATTAAACAAGGGAAGGAAGATTTCATTAGAATCTAGCTGCTGCTATCATTTATAATTTAGAGCTATCAGGGAAGATATGGCTTTTCTGCATTTTGCTTGAACTAAGGTTTAACCGGCTTCAAAATTTATTGAAATCATTAAAATTATGGATTGTAAACCACCACACACTATTCTGGATAGTGGGAGGAAGATAAATATTTCAAAATTATCATTTGTAGATTTCACAAATTCATTGAGCCGCATGGAAAGGCACCTTATACATTTCCCTTTTTTCTGGATTAAACAAGCTCATGCCTCCAAGGTCCCTGCCAACTTTATTATTATTATTATTATTATTGTTGTTGTTGTTGTTGTTGTTGTTGTTGTTGTTGCTGTTGTTGTTGCTATTATTGCCTTAATAGAATGGGATTTACATTGGCTCAAGCTGTTTTGAAGAAAGAAACATTTTTAACTTTATCCACAATCCCTTTTCTTTGGCAGCTATTTAAATTAAACTCCTATATGATCTCCCATCTGACCACTTCAGAGAAAAATCTGCAGAAAAATATGCGCAATTAGATTCTTCTCTGGATTCTTGTGTATATGTTGTCTTGAATGGCAAAAATGTATCCATATTCTGGGAAGGAATGGAAACTACGCATATTGAAGGAACAGTGAATTTATCCATGATTCAATTTTCACTCTATTCTAAATAAACCTGTAACTTACATTTGTGTATCTTCTGCCTCCACATTCTAAGCAAAATGCCAAGGTGCATTTGGGTGACATGATACCAT